AAATTAAAAAATATTAAGCTGTAAGAAAATATAAAAATAAAATCATTAAATAATTATTTTTTTAAAAAGGATTAATTAATTCATTTGTTGAAACTAAAAAAAATAATTTATAATTTATTCAATAAAACTCTACGTTATGTACACACACACGGTTGTGATGGTATGACCTCATAAGTCATTGCAAGTAATTGGAATAACAGAAGCCCATTAGTCTGCCTAGATTTTGGGCCTTCTGTTTGAATAAAACGATTCCGTTTAAAAGGAAAAAAAGGAAAAGAAAAGAAAGGAGAAGAAATTGTTAAGAGCTGGTATGAATTTTGAGGAAGTTAATAAATGCGGCTTTCCTTTCGCAGGTGTCATATACGAATCCATACATTCTTACAAGAATCATAAACTTCATATTTACTCAGATTGCCATGATTAATTAAAAAACCGAGGGGAAAGACTTGGTATAGAAAAAAAAAAATAAAAAATAAAAAAAATATATATATATATACATATATATGTGTGTGTGTGTGAGACAAAAAAGACGGACTATGCGTTTTTCGCATTCTAGGAGATCTCCTCAACAACGAGTATCAACATATTAATTAATCATTGCACACGATTAAATTATTAAAATATGTTCTTTTCTAAAAGAAAAAGAAAAAAATAATCTATTTGACATGACAAAATAATTATGAATCTATTTAGTATAAATTAATTTGCGTCCTGCGCTACGCAATGATGAAATATTATTAATGGAGAATAATTGAGTCAAATAAAAGTTATTAAAGAAGTATTAAAATATTATATCTATAGATTCAGAATATGAGTGGACTTCACAATGTTAATGATATTTTTAATTTTTTGATGAAAGTTTTGCTTTTATGCATCGATTAAAAGAAAAAATTTTAATCTCCAAAATTGACGAGTAAATCATTAGTTTTCGCCATGGATGTTTGTGAAATAATTGAAGAAAAGTTGCAAATTTTTAGAAAAAAAGGCGCAGATAAGAAGTGCAATGTGATGTCTATATGTTACAAACTAATTTAGTATGAAAAAGACAACAATGGCAGATTTGCAAAGAAAGAGGATGTTCGTTGGCAGCGAAGCCGGCATTGTCATCTAACACGTGAGTTGCGATGAACGGATGGTCTAAAGCTGTGCAGTAGAACCTGTTATGGCGAATGAAAAAAATCTTTATCTAATCAATGATGTCAAGAAAAATTGCTAGGATACTAATATTTGTTAGTGAAGCCATGGTTAGAAACCAAGTTCATGTATATTTCAAGTGTTGTTATTTCATTATTATCATTATTATTTGTTATTAGGTGTTTTGTTTTTTTGGGGATTTCTTTTCATTGTGGTAATTCTTTTCTTATTTGGAATTTAGTTTATCTATTTTTTTTTTTAAGGAAAAAAGTGGTTTACCTGCTTAGGATTCGGCTACTAGGCAATAAAAGCTTACTTTTATGCATCTTTTGTAACAATTTAGAATGATGAAAATTGTTAACTACAACTTTTTACTTTTTTTTTTTTTTTTGAAACTTATGTCACTTTTGTGATTATCTTAGAGTTAGTGTTTTCTGTATCATTGAATTAATCTATTAAGACAGTACTATTAATCATTATTGGCTAAAGTTAGAGTGAGTTTTTAAATCTAGCTAAAATCAATCAAAGTTAAGGTTATTGTTGTAAGAATTATGTGCTTACTTTGTAGTGGGGTTTTTAATCTCACTAAAATCGACTAAAGTTAGGGTTTATTTTTCATAATTTCAGCTTTTTTAGGTTTGAAATTTGTGCTTCGAATATTTATCTACACAAATCTAGTGTCACTTATAGATTAAATTTATATTAAATAATTATTGTTTATAGGTAAAAAAAATAATGTTTTTAGTTTTTGAGATCTAATTTCATTTTTTAAAGAAAAGTACCAAATAAATAGAGGTGAGATAAAATTCTCATCCGTGGATCCATCTATGAATACCTAGTATTGTGTTTGGGAGCAGCAGTGATTTTATGTTGAACAATTATTATTAGAGTAAATTATATATTAGTCTTTTTATTTTTTAAAACTTATTAAACAATTCCTCTAGTTTTAAAAACTAACTAATTAGTCTTTATTTTTTTAATTCTACTTATAATTTTTTTTTCATTTTTTTTGATTTTTTTTTAAGAAATAGTAAAAAATACGAAAAGATTGATGAAAAAATAATATATTTTTTAATAAAATAATATTAAATTAATTATAATTAATAATGATCAATGAACCAATTAATTAATTTTTAAAACAAAAAGAACTATTTAATTCCCTTCGCAAAGCTAAAGAGACTAATTTATAATTTACTCATTATTATTGCACCAAAAAAGAAAAGAAAAGGAAAAAAAAGCTGGAATCTTCAAATGAAAAATTACATTAGGCCTTTTGATTCCGTTATATAGAGCATGCTCGGATATTTTACGTTTTTGAGTTGGCTTGGATTGGTTCCCGTTGAGAAAATGGTAATATCGATTATCAGGTTGGATTGGATGTACCTATCGGTCTTGCCCCTGGACTGCTCTTCTTCCCTTGGTTCTTTTGTAAAAGTCATCCACTTCTTTCGTTTGGGTTTCTGCTTCTTGTGGGCTATAGCAACATCTATTTCGATGGCTAAGAGCTTTCATGATATAATTTTCCATTACAAAGGGTGATCTCTATTCAAAAGTATCAAAGCACTGAAGCCCATGACATAGTTCAGGCCTAAATGGGCTTTGTCAATGAATTTGAATTTGAAACTGCTTGCAGTTCAAAGTTTTTGGATAGTTTATTTATGAATCAAAACAAGAGGAAAATAATAATAATAATAAAAAGTAAAGAATATGAGGTAAATTGCTTTAGTTCCTTGCACATGCAGTTTGTCTGTCCTAAAGAAACAGTACAATTGTAATTAATCCATAATCAAATGATGGATCATATCAGTCCAATCACAGAAACAACCGAAGTGGTCCAAACACCTTTTGATGATATGATATTAGATTGGATTCCCGCAAAGCAGTACTACGTTAATAATGGGCATAACAGGACTACGTGTACCAACAGGATAAGGTCTAAAAGACATTCTTGGAATTGGGTCCGTTTGTCTGGCAATCTAGCCATCCAGGCAGTTCAGTCAGAGCGACGTCCGTCGAATAGCTTAGTTCCTTGAAGGATAATGGATAGATGCTAGTGTCGTTAGTGAACAGCCCAAAAGGCAGCACAGAGGAATCCAAAATCCACTTCATAGGATGCGTGCATAGAGAAGAATATGCATGTCCAAGTCTGGGGACACAGGCGATAAAGCGATAATGTTAATGTCTGTTTGCTACGATACTATAGTTTGTATATATTTTACTTATTCCACCTCTCAAAAGAGTCTAGGGGCATCAAGCATCCATCTCCAGGGTGGCGACAGTTTGCTGTGCCTAGAAAACAGCATGTTGTGGAGGCTATGACCCATAGGAAAATGGGAGGGAGGGGGACCCGTAGTGATTCCACCATTAAATAAACTACAAACTTATCCAAATTATCTCAGCTTCAAAAGATTTTATATTCTTATCCATCCACGACATCTGCCACGGGTGAATCATGGCAAACTCTTGCCAATTTGCCATTTCATGCCGCTCGTCAACCCTTACCCATCAATGTTCCAATAACCTCGGTCAACTTTCCCTTACTTCTTTTTAGGGTTGCGATTTATCTTATACCGTGGATCATACGGAGAAATTAAGCTGTAGATCATTTAATTCATAATTCTTTGGTGTTTTTTCTAAAGCTAAGCATTAGTGAGTTGAATTTAAGTTGAGCACGGCAGGAAACAGTGCTAAAATTATAATTATGTGCTTTGAAGTTTGAACCACAAATCTGGTTAATCAGTGTTGTGAATATTGGCAATAATGAACCATAACTTTCTTCACATGCCACCATCTATTTTTCCTAAATCAATTGGATCCAAGTCTAGCAAGAAATCTCACGTTAAGTCTATCCATCTCTCTCTCTCTTATATATATATATATATATATATATATATATATATATATATATTTCTATCGGCCTAACACGCCAATTGAATACTGTTTGCAAAGCATAAAACATTTTATGTTGAAGACATGTGGAGTTAGTTTCATACATGAAAAATTTAAAAGATTAAGATTCTTCTTCTGTTTGTTCTTAGCTAGGTAAGCTATCGAAAGTTTTTCTTTCTGTCTGCTAGCCTTCTTTTGAATCGAACCCACAGGAACAAAGTGGAAATGCAAGGAACAAGCTTTGGTGCCGACCCGTCCAGCTCCAGGGTTAGATAGTTGAATCTGTCTCTTATTACTACTCATGAAATACTAAAATTTTAACATTTCAGCCGGTCCATGTACTTTCGCTATCAGACGCAACACATTCATTGGATATAGTTCGTCAGTGATCGCTGGACTGTGGATATATAGTCAAATTTGAAATATTCAAGTGGATGGACGTTACTTCTGCTTGAGTATTGACACCAACTTGACCCACAAACATGATTCAAATTCAATGGATCGGTACATCTCAAATTCATATTCGAAGTGGATAGAGAGTATGCCCCTTTTGCAAAAATGCACTCCAACTTGAACTGCAATTTGGATAACTAATTAACACCAAATTCATTTCACAAGTTACAATAACAGTTTTAGCTTTAAAACATATATGTATATTTTCAGTCTTTTTGTTGCTGGCAAATTGGGCATGGCACCCATAGAAAGTCAAAAGCCAATAATGCCAAAGCCAAAACCATCAAAAATTTAGCCGCTGTTATTGTGATACTAGCAATTTACCACAGGACAATTTTATTTAATTTATTCTAATCAACCACAGATGTCCAAAATTGGAAGGGCATTGTTTTACTTCAACTTTTCTATATATATATATATATATATATATATATATCTAGCAAAGGACCTCAGTTTTCTCATTGCTTCTTGGAAAAAAAAAGAAAAGAAAAGAAAAAGACATACCACTTCGCTTGTTCAGAAAGATGACCGAGTTAATACCAGGTTTGCCTGAAGAAATAGCGCTTGAATGCCTCATTCGGCTTCACTACTCCACTCACCGAGTGGCATCCCAGGTTTGCAAACACTGGCGCTCAATTATTCAAAGCAGAGATTTTTACTATCAGAGAAAGCAAAACGGGCTCGCCCACAAAGCTGCTTGCTTAATCCAAGCTATCCTGGACCAAACCGTTTCGAACCAACGTAAACCGGCTGGACCACCCAAATATGGAGTTTCTATATTTGACTCTGTTAATGGGTCATGGGACAGGGTTGATCCGGTTCCTGAGTACCCAGATGGGCTTCCTTTGTTCTGCCAAGTCACAAGCTCGGAGGGCAAGCTCGTCGTCTTGGGTGGATGGGACCCAGTGAAGTATGAGCCACTGAGTCAGGTTTTTGTTTACGAATTCACCACTCGCCAATGGAGGCGAGGCAAGGACATGCCTGAAAATCGTTCCTTTTTCGCTGTAGGTGAGTTGAACGGCGGAATTATAATCGCTGGCGGCCACGACGAGAACAAGAACGCTTTGAAAACAGCCTGGGTCTATGAAGTGACTCAGGACGTGTGGACTGAATTACCTCAGATGAGTCAGGAGCGAGACGAGTGCGAGGGAGTTGTGATTGGCTCCGAGTTCTGGGTAGTGAGTGGATACAGAACCGACAATCAAGGTGGGTTTGAGGGAAGCGCGGAGTCAATTGAACTCGGAGCAAGTAAGTGGAAGCGAGTTGAGGACTCGTGGAAAGTCACCCAGTGCCCAAGGTCCTCCCTTGGAGTGGACAAAGATGAGCAACTGTTCAGCTGGGCCGAGTCTGAGTCGGCAGTGAAAGTCGGGGCTTGTGGTGTTCAGCTAGGTGAAAGGACATTTGTGTCAGGATCAGCTTATGAAGGTGGGGCAAAAGGGTTCTTTGTTGTGGATGGACAAAGTGGTAAATGGGAGCAGTTAGATGTGCCAGGTGAATTTTGTGGATTTGTTCAGTCTGGTTGCTGTGTGGAAATATAGTGTCAGAAATAGTAGAAGGCGAATTGAGTTGGAGAGGAAGTGAGTATTTTACTTTTACTCCCACACACGTTTGGATGTCTGGAAAAACTAAAAACAGTCGTGTCCTTTCTCCAACTTTACTAGTTGCATGGTAAGTTTTAAGTGCTGTTTTGATGTACTGTGTGAGTACATTTTTACTATTTGAATGGTAAATAATTATAGGGATGTTGTAAAATTCTGTTTTTGAGTCTGTAATGTAAATAAGCTGGACTGGAAAGCATACTCGTAACATCTGCTCCTGCTTGAACCGAATCTAATTCAATCTGCTTATCTAACACAGAATCAATGGCATCCAAGAAGATGCCAACTCTGATTGATTAATGCTTTCGAGCTACATTCTGCATTACGAGCTGCATGCAATAAATATGATTTATACAAAATTAAATTGACCAGGTTAAAACGCATCGTAACTGATATATAGCAGACTTGCAATATGAGCCTTGGGACGACGTGTCCAACAATGCTTCTAACGCCAACTGTAAATCTAATCTACAACAGATTAGTATCAGTACTATCACTTCAAAACCGAGAGATATAGCTGCACGTCATCCAGCTTGATTGTACTCTACAGCTTATCTTTAAATTAATTCTGTTTGTTGGCATGTATATATCATGCATACTACTCTAACAGTGAGTAATTTCAATTGAATGAAATCAATCTTTCCAAAGTGCTGCACTAACATTTACTTAACCAGGCAGAATGGAGAAGCCCAAGCATAACATGACCCTCTCTACGTGCAAGGAGACCCTACCATGGCTTTTCTAAACAAGCTGTCAAGAGCAGTAGATGAATCGGATGACATCTGAATCCGCCTATAGCACAACAAAGCAAAATCCAGTCCCTATGCATGCTCCAGATACTGTCCATAATTCTGCTCTTATCTGCAATTTTCTATCATTCGACGCATTCATAGCCAATTTGATGGTTTTTTTTTTTTTTTTTTTTTTTTTTTTTTTAAAGATGCATTCATCAGCACCAACCGCGGCCATATTGTAACCTTGCAACTAGTTCGTCCCTTAATTTGAAAAAAGAAATACGCTACTCAACATTTCTAAGTGTCTGAATTTCCTTAAACCGAAGTTTAATCCCAAAACAGGAAACACCCCCACATTGAAGGTTAAATTTATCAAGGGACATGATCGGATAAATTGCATTAACTCAGAGAGCAAACTTTTGAAATTTGACAAACACCGCCCTACGAAAATATCAACAGTCCATTTTTACCGTAAAAAAAAAAAAAACAAAATCTTTGCTATTGTACTACAGAAACCGTCTCTTACATCTAAAATACCCCAATAGATTTAAAACTACCAAATTTAAGATGTCAAAAAGAGTTATTCATGAACATTTCCAATAAAACTAGAAGGAATTTCTATCAAACCTTCACCATTTCATCTGGCGGTGCAATGTAATTAACCAGAAATTACGGTTTGATCACCGTAGTATGAGCAGCACGTGTTAGTACTACCCATATCTAATCATCTATAAAATTGTAAATAGACAAAATGATAATAGCATTGGCGTACGACATCTATATATTTTCAATCATGAACCATAGGGGAATAAGGGTTAAAGAGCAAAAGATCAGCAGTTGTCCGTACGAGAACTGATTAAACACGATACATCTGGTCAACATTATTCTATCTACTTGCCTAGAAAGTCCACCACAATCAGCTCATGGTGCTACATCATTAAACTCCACTATTAACTCATGGTAAGTCTTCACTGCTTCCAGTATTACTGATCACCGGGAGTACTCTAGGCTCTGGCTCCTGCTCCGGCTGTAGCTCCTTGAACCATAAGGAGATCTTGAGTAAGATCGGTCTCTATAACTCCTTGAAGCATAAGGAGACCTTGAGTAGGATCTGTCTCTATACCTCCTATCTCTAGGAGAAATTGATCTGTTTGGTAAATGAAGATATATCAGTACAAAACTGCTTTTCCAGACCCATCAAGCATTACAGGAAAACGCAAAAGGTCCAGTTCAATTGACCTAAATTGATAAGGAGAAGTTGTAGCAGACCTTGAATGATGTCTTCGCCTGGGGGAATGAGAATAATACACAGGACTACGAGAATAACTCCGTCCATAGCGTGGTGATGGAGAGCGCCTGCGGTCATAGTACCGACCACCCCTGACAACACCATTGTGCACAAACAAACAACTCAAATCTTAGCTTTGCAGCCATTGAAATATACAGCACTATTCAACAACCTGAATCCTCCTTTTTTTTTTCCCCCTCTTCTCAAGATCAATAAGCACTTTATGCATCCACAAAAGTAAGCAACCTAGAAATTATGTTAGTTGTTCAAACAAACACCAACCATACTAGGTATAACAAATCCACTGACCAAAAAAAAAAAAAATCTATAAACATCTAACTTGACAGTATGCATGAAAAAAAAAGTTCAAACCCAATTTTCCACACAATGCATCGATATTCAATGAATGCAAATTAAGCTGAATAAGCACCATTACCTCAGACGATCTCTGTGCCTCATTTCTGCAGGCTTCTTCCTATTTTCCTCAGCAAAAACAACTGTCAGTTCCCGGCCAAGAAGAATTTCACCATCCATATGGTCCTTGGCATCTGCAGCATCAGCTGGTTCTAAATATTGGACAAATCCAAAGCCTCGTGGTTCCCTGAAACAAATGCATACCAACAACACAACAAAGTGAATACAGACAAATGAACATAAACATGTGTCCTAACTGCCAGATGACAGGATCCAGACTCCAAGCGTGAAGCGGTAGATCATTATAAGCACTTGCCAACACTCATGCCATTGAAAAAAATGATTATGTGGCTGCTAACCTTGTAGAAGCCAAATATTAAATTGGGGATAATCTTCAACACTTGAACTTCTTCAGAATGTATTAAACCCACCTTCCCCTCAACCTTGATGTACATTAAGGTGTACAGTACTCTTATTACTTGAATGGTGTCTTCAATACTCTCATTACTTCATTCTTGTCTTCACTCTAATTACTTCATTTGTATCTCCAACACTTCCAATAAAAAACAACCAAATTCCGATAAAGCAATAGCACATAAAAAGACAAAAAATCCCACATTGAATAGTTTTAAGACACATGTTTACTGGATTCGCTATATGTTACAGACAAACTATTTTGTTTCTTGTTTGAAGCTGTTACAGCCCTGAGAGAAAAGGAGTTCATCTTACCCAGTATAATAATCACGGGGCAAGTAAATGTCCTTCAGAGGACCAAACCGTCCAAATTGGCCACGAAGATCCTCAGGCCTGCAAAACAGAACACAAGACAGGATCGGCTCACACATTTTTTCTGTGTAAATTTAGAAGAAATAGCTCCACTTTCTCTTCATTTTGACCAACACAGTATAGCTGTAGATTAAAAAAATTGGCTATGGCTATTACAGATTTGAAGGCAGTATATACCCTTTATTCCCATCTTATACAAAGTGAGATCACAATTACAATAACATGCATATAATTGACTACACCAAAAAAAAAAAAAAAAAAAAAAATTTAAAGCAGAAGCATATTTGCGCAGAACATAAAGCAACAGATGACTACATGACCATCAAGAACAGAAATTCAAATGGCAGGGAAGCAACGAGAAAAGCCAAACCTGCAATCATGGCGAAGATTGCGAACCAGAAGACTAGTAGGAAGATCCCTACGACGACCTCCATACCGACCCCAAGAGCTAGGACTCCTGTGTCTCCTCCCATAACCCCTTGGGGGGGACGGGCTGTAGCTGTAGCTTCTTCCCCTCATTTTCAACAATATCACAACCTGCAACAATCGAAGAAAAAAACAGATTTTAGGACAACAAAAAATCAATCCAAAAAACAAAAATTTAAAGACAAACAACAGTTTTAATATTAAAAAATCATTTAAAAACAAACAACAGTTTTAATATTAACAAATCTCCAATTCTTTAACAATAATAATAAAACAACAAAGTTTCAAACATTTCCTCGTAATTTCTAATCAAATAAGACTATAACAAGACAAAATGAACGCTTATTTGAAAAAATAAGACATGGAGATTAAAGAAACTATCAAAGATCAAGAGAATTAGAAGCAGAGAAAAAGAGAAAAGTACCTGGGACGATGTCGGTTTTGCTCCTCTTTCCAGAGGTTTCTGTGAGGATAAAAAAACCTATGAATGAAAGCAAATAGCTCTAATGGGCTATTTTAAAATTCGAGAAGCTTCTTGTCCAGGTGCTTATGTTAGCGTGCATCGCAGCGTTATAAGTCCATCATGAGGGTTTTCAAACTCTAGCCGTCAAATACTCATCAGTCAAACAATCAACAATCCTGATGGTCTCTTATTATTTATGCTCCTTTCGACATTGCGTAAGATGAAGGCCTCGTTCGGCCCAATCCATTAAAAGGTCGAGCAAACCCGACCCGACCCAACCCGACCCGGAGGCTACTTTGCTAGGGCTTAGTAAGAACTCCCATCGTTACTTTTAAACCCAAAAACCCTTCAAAACCCTGATTCTCCTACCAGTCACCGTCTCCCACTTAACACAGCCTCAAAAACAAAAGGAAAAGAGGAGGAATTTTCATTAGTTTCCCGCAAGGGTTGCTAATTATCTTCAAGCAAGTAACGGAAAAATGGCAGCTCCTTCAAAGAAAAAACAACAGAATCGAAAACAAAACGACGGTCCAAAATTCAACAAAGCATCACAGAAGCAATTCAAAGCCAAGCAGACGAAGAATAAGAAGAGTTATTCAAACGATGCCGTCGAGAAGGATGCCTCTATTGCATTGCAACTTGAGGATGACGTCCCTGACTTCCCTCGAGGTCAGTAACAAGAGTCTCTCAATCTCCTTGAATTTGGTCCTCGAGAAATTTGAACGAGGATTTTAAAAGGAAACTATTGAATACTTAATTAAACTTTAAATTTCGCAAATTTGATAAATTGTTAAGAACCGGAAACTATTTCTGTTTTTACTGATTGTTGACCTTTGTTTTTTTTTAAGGTGGAAAGAGTTCATTGAGTCAGAGAGAAAGGGACGAAATTAGAGCAGAAGCTGAGGAAGAATTCCATGCGGAGGAGAGGCAATTGAATAGGAAGAATAAGGGGAAAAAGTTTCAAAAAAGAGTAGTCAATTATCAGGGGATGATTTAGGTTCCCTTTTTGGTGATGGATTAACTGGAAAACTGCCTCGTTTCGCTAATAGGATCACATTCAAGGTTAGAAAACTGAAAACGTTAACCTTGTGAAATGATTTTTTTTTACGTTGATTGCATTATAGGTGTTTAATTTTATGATGTCTGCTTGTATGCACAGAACATTTCTCCTGGAATGAAGCTTTGGGGGTTGTTGCTGAAGTAAATGAGAAGGACCTCGTAATCAGTCTTCCTGGTGGATTGCGTGGATTAGTACGTTCCACGGATGCAATCGATCCTGTTTTGAATGATCAAATTGAGGTACCAGAAACTTGTATAAAATCACTTTTTTTTTTTAATAATAGTTTTTGTATTATTATGGTTTTAGTAAGTGGTATTCAATAATTTTTTGTTGTTATTTTTCTCTTTACTAGGACGGTGAAGGTAGCCTTCCAAGTGTATTCCACGTTGGGCAGCTGGTTTCGTGTATTGTGTTGCAGTTGGATGATGATAAGAAAGATAACAAAAAAAGGAAGATTTGGCTTTCTTTGCGCCTTTCATTGTTGCACAAAGGCTTCTCGCTAGATGCTGTTCAAGAAGGGATGGTAAGACAATTCAATGATTGGGATGGACTGTTTTAACTGTTCATTGCTAGAATAATAATATCATATTTGAAAATGAGAGTGCTTTCTAGCCTAAAGCTGGATTTGAAGCAGGTTCATTTAGGATGGTAGTTGTAAACTCCTCAAAAATATTTAAAGAACATTTGGTGTTTTATATGTTTGGTGGATTATGTGTTCATAGATGGCATGCTGAACCAAAAGGACCACTGTGTGCTTGTCTGTTGTCTTGACACTGGGTGGGCTTCATAAATATGTGTTCTCATATGTCCCAATCTGGCTAGCCAAATCAACAATGGCACAGGGCCTGGCTGCCTAGTTTAGTCTAGATTTAATTTCTGGAATTACCTAGTCTAATGTAACTAGTATAAGGGATATAGCTTACAGTGACTTGGATAGCCCTACTATGCTTCTCTAAGATGATGCCCTGCCACAACTATGCAACAATCACCTTTGTATTCAGTCAAAAATTTCAGTCAATGAGCTTTGTTACCACCCTGCGGCTGTTCTGATTAACTTGTTGTGTTGTTTTTCCAAGACTTGTTATTACTAGTGTCTGAATATGGATTGCTGACAAAATAATTATATTTCTTGGGAAGAACTTGTGTGTAAACTATTATCCATCACAAGTGATCCCACTTTTCATTGGGTCTGTTTAGGGAGATCTTGCGTCACAATGTGCAACCGAAAAGATGGAAATATTATTGTTATCTTTTGTGTTCATCCCAATTTCAACCAACACTTGTACTGATAAAATATCTACTTGTAGTTAGATATATGATCCATGGTTCAGTTACTCAGAAGCACATTCTTTTTTCAAGTAGAAACTATTTGATTGGAAAAGATGCCAGGATTCAGAACCAGTCCCTTTTTGGGTACTATCGACTCGGGATTAAGATTTTGTCGAACCAATACCCAACCAGTTTGACATAGGGATTTATTGTGCAGAGTTTTTGAGTTCCAGTTGAGATGGACTCATTGTTTATCCTTCTCGAGTAGACATCAGGTCGTATTTTGGTGCTACTCAAGCCAGAAAAAGAAAATGATAGCTCAAACTATATTATGTTGTTTCAGAAAGATATTCTTGAACCAAAATTTCCTCATGGAAAAAAGTGATTGCTGGCATATATCTCTACAAGTAGGTTATGACGGAATGCATCTTTCAAAGGAACTATCGTGGATACAAGGACGCAGTGTGTACTTGTTAACTTATTTGTCTTCTATAGATTTGTAATTTTATCTGCCCACTGTTTTATGATTGTAGGTTCTCACTGCATATGTCAAAAGCATTGAAGATCATGGCTTCATTCTGCATTTTGGATTGTCATCTTTTATGGGGTTTTTGCCAAAGAGCAGCCAAGCTGGTAAGTATCAGTCAAGTTATTCTGCAGCATTGTCAAATAGTTGCAAGTCTGTAGGCTCATACTTCTCTACTTTCCGTACAATGCATATCTTATTGTTTTACTGATCTTTATTGCAACTTCTTTTTTTTTTTTTTTTATGTCTTCTTGGTTGTAGCGAGCAGGGATTCTGAAGTGAAAACTGGGCAATTTGTACAGGGAGTCATTAGAAGGATTGATAAACCTCGGAAAGTTGTTTATCTGAGCTCTGATCCAGATACAGTTTCTAAATGTGTGGTATGCGAATTTATCCAATCACCTTCAGGTTCTATTGTCTCTTCTTTCCAATGGGTTTAGTGCTGTTCTAACATTTAGTTGTTACACTCTTATGCAGACTAAGGATCTTAAGGGCATTTCAATTGATATGCTCATTCCAGGCATGATGATTGATGCCCGTGTACAGTCAACCCTTGAAAATGGGATAATGTTATCATTCCTTACATACTTCACTGGAACTGTAAGTTTGCTGCAGTTTTTTTTTTAATGGCTATTATAACAGATGTACAGCATCGGGACTCGCCTTGGCTACTCAATTTATCCACTAGTTTGTGTATCACTTCTGCTTATACATCTTTTACATATATATATATATATATATATATATATATATTTTTTTTTCTTTCATTTTGCTTTTACAGGTCGACATGTTCCATTTACAAAATACTTTTCCTACTTCAAATTGGAAGGATAATTATGCCAAGAATAAAAAGGTGTGTATTCAAAGTCATTCTTCAACTGATCTTGACACCTTTACCTCTGTTGATTTATATAGTATTAATTTCTCTCAATCCTTAAATTCTGTTGGGACCCAAGTTCCTATATTTGCCTTTTGCACTGCCTTCATTCTTTGAATCATTCATTGGGCAGACCAACATAATAAATAGTACAATATTAGGACCGTGTCTTGATTTGTTGCTTTGCAGTACTGAAGTTGTTGAGTTCTACTGTTCTCTTTCCTACTTTATTTCAACATGATGTGCATGGTGTTGCAGCCTTAATTTGTACCTGTTAGACAATAATGTTTCTGCCATATTACCGCTGTTTCTTTTTTCTGTTTGCTTTCATCAATATAAACTGCTATTATTTTGGTTTAGGTCAATGCTCGTATATTATTTATCGATCCCTCAACTAGAGCTGTTGGTTTGACTCTCAATCAACATCTTGTTCACAACAATTCCCCTCCATCTGTAAGTACTTTGGACGTTTATGAAAATTCTTTTCTTGTGTACAATTAAGGCTTTGAAATTTAAGTTTTCTTATCTTTTCAATTATTTGTTAATTGTTGCTTGTTTCATCTACAACCTTTTCTGGGACTGAGTGAGGTGGGTTGTCGGGAAATAGGGTTCACCTTGAGGCATGTGAACCAAAATGTAGTATATCTTAGCACTGCTTAATATTTGGGCTTGGCAATGTGGTATTTTACAAACTATATTATGGGCATGGCCTGTGTTCTTTTGGTTTGTAGCATCAGCATTTACCTTCCTGGTACCATTGATAATGTTGAATATCACTTATTTGAAAACTGAGCATGAGAATGCATTTTGGTATACCTAGTAATTTTGTTACTTAATATTATCTTTATTTTATAGTGGAGCTTCTCTTGATCTTATGATGGTACATGCAATTACACTCAACTGGCTCCACTTGGTAGTATAATGCTCATCCTTTGAGAAGTCACAAGCTTATTAGTTAGCTCGGGCTTTACTGATTAGTTTTCATGTGATTGCTGTCTTGCTCCCTCTGGGTCTAACTTTTGGTTTGAATGCAGTGTGTTAAAGTTGGAGATATTTATGACAATGCAAAAGTAGTCAGGGTAGATAGAGGCATGGGCCTTCTGCTTGAAATCCCTTCTTCTCCACTGCCAACACCAGCATTTGTTAGTGTATGTTCTCTATGCGTTCATTCGCATGTTCTATATCCCTATTCTTTCCTGATAAATATTTTAATATGATTTATTTATCGTTAAGTTCCCCATGGTGGTTGATACATTCAAATTATGTTGATACAGGTTTCTGATGTGGCTGAAGATGAGGTACGGAAGCTTGAGAAGAAGTTTAAGGAAGGAAGTAGTGTTCGTGTTCGAATCCTTGGGTGTAGGCATTTGGAAGGGCTTGCCACAGGGATTTTGAAGGTTGCTTTTCTATTTTATAAAAATATCTTTAGTTATTCAAATGAAATGGATGGATATTGCCTGATTTGCACTCCTATAGAATATTTTCCTTGAAAGCAAATTGGGCTGCTTTTTCTATCTGCATAGAAGATATTTGCACTTCTTATTAACAAAGTGCATTTCTGATATTGCACACAAAGGGCTCTAGCTTTCTTCTTATCTTGTATATGACTACATCTGTTCCAGCTCAAAATTAGGTTGCCTCAAATGATGTGAGAACATTCTTCATATGATTTTTGTAACCTGCAGGCTAGTGCTTTTGAAGGATCTGTATTCACCCACTCAGATGTCAAGCCGGGAATGGTAACAAGGGCTAAAATCATAGCTGTTGACAGCTTTGGGGCTATTGTGCAATTTGCTGGTGGAGTGAAGGCACTTTGTCCACTTCGACACATGTCTGAATTTGAAATTGTGAAACCTAGAAAAAAATTCAAGGTCACACTCTTAACAACATTTGCTTTTCAAGGTGTTTTTGTGAAATGGATCTTAGACCAGAGATGGTCCATCTTGTACGTTGTATGGTAGTTCATGGTAACAACTTTTAGTGGACCTGTATTATTATGCAGGTTGGAGCTGAACTTTTGTTCCGTGTGCTGGGTTGCAAGTCCAAGAGAATAACTGTGACACACAAGAAATCTCTTGTATGTTCTTTCTAGATTTGCTATATGACTTGAAACTTTTTTTTTCATTAATGTGCAGCACTTTCTGGAGTGCTGAAATATTGTATTGTCATAGGTTGTCTCTTTCGCTGCGTTTGTCTTTGTGACTATCCGTTTCAGTTTTCATATATATATATATATATATATATATATATATAACTCGCCGTCTTTGCTACCATGTTTGATGTTTCACATGCTTGCTAGCAATCTGTTGTTAATAGTTGCTTTCACGTTTTTTAACAATTTACGTAGTTAACTTTCTGATGCACAAATTGTTGGCTTATGGTTTGACAGGTCAAATCTAAACTTCCAATTCTTAGTTCATATGCTGATGCAACTGATGGATTGATAACACATGGTTGGATAACGAAGATTGAAAAGCATGGATGCTTTGTCCATTTTTACAATGGAGTTCAGGGATTTGTCCCCAGGCTAGTCTTGAAAAATCTAGATTGCATTTTTTATAATCTTCTTGATCTTGCGGATATGAGTACAGCATCTTCTGTTAAATTGCTATCTATATGGTCCACTGTCTTTTTACTTCTTGTTTCCTCAATATCTTGTGTTCAATAGTGTTTTCATCAGAATTTATGCAATCAGCTTGGAAAGGATAAATTAAGAATCTAGATGTTTTAGGTTCAGTAACGGGAGAAATGTAAAGTTATAGAACAGTAGGATTAGCAGCAAGGATGTAGCAAAGAATGACATCCGAGAAACAACCGGAACAAAAATTTTGAAGCTTGAACATGTTGCATGCAGAAGAAGTTTGGAAACACTTCCCTGTGAATTGATTTCTTTCAAGTAGAGGAATAACGGGATGATAACTGATACTTGTTTTTGTGAAGGGTTCAGCAAATAAGGAACATCTAGAAGTAGTAGTTTAGCCCAAATGAGGATTAAGAGAGAGGCAATATGAGGAAAAATAGAATAATGAACTAATGTTTCTTTAGATGGTACGATTATTCTTTCCTGATCTGTAAATCTTAGATATAGACCATAAGACACTGAGTATATGGCTGGTGCCCCTGACTTTCTTACGTGGTTTATCAGTGCATGCATGTGTTGTATGTTGAAGTCAAATTGTGGTCTGTGAGTGCAAGCCATCTTCCCACTAATCTAATATTCATCTATATTTTGGCCTTTTTTGGATGATGACTATAGCTATATCAGTCTTTCTTTTTACTCTTCTTTGTGATATAGTTTGACCAATACTCTGCTTCAGGTGATGTGTCAATGTTTGTTAATGATGGTTCTATTGAACTTGAGGATCATGGGGAGTGCTCGAAAAATACTCTGATTTGTAATTAGATGGCAACTGCTTAGCTTTTGGTTATATTTTTCAATTAAGCCTTTGCAAATGTTGTGGACTCTTTTGTTCTGTTCTGAAGTCCTTTTTGCTTATATTTTTGGATTTCTTCTCTTTTGCTTTTAATTTAGTGAATGGCCTTGTTGGTCTATTTGAATGCTAGGCTAGGATTGCTTTCTATTTTGGTTCGATTCTAGAGGATGTTGATTGCTTGCTCTTCATTTTAAACAGGTCTGAGCTTGGATTAGAGCCAGGAAGCGATGCAAATTCAATGTATCAAGTTGGACAGGTTGTGAAATGCAGAGTAATAAGTTCTATTGCTGCTTCACACCGGATCAATCTTAGTCTCATAATGAAGCCTCTAAGGTTTGTTAAGTGGTGCATCTTTTCCATTCTCCCAAGTCAAAAGTTAAAATCAAAATGAAGTAACTTCATTATTTTACCTGCATTTGTATTGTGCCTCAGTTGAATATGAAATGGGGCATTTGGTTAGCTCTAGGGTAACTGTATATGTGTTGTTTCATATTTGATTGTTAGGAAGTAGTATCCAAGTCCAATATTGTCTGCTTATTTGAAGCTTTTTGCTGCACCCTGCTAGAACAATTTATGATTATTCTTTCTGCAAGATTATTCAAGTATTTTTGATTTCAAATTACAGGCTTTCTGAAGAAGATGGCATCAAGCTGGGTAGCGTGGTTACTGGAGTTGTTGAGAAAGTTACCCCCTCTTCGGTAATAGTATCTGTTAATGCAAAAGGCTACTTGAAGGGGACAATTACTACTGAACATTTGTCAGATCATCATGGTATAGGTCTTTGCCTTCTATACATGGCACAAATAGGGTTTCATGTTTTTTCATTATACCCTTGTTTGGTCTTCAATTATGCAGAACATGCTGCTTTGATGAAGTCAGTCTTGAAGCTTGGATATGAGTTTGATCAACTACTTGTCCTAGGTATTTTTTGAGCTATTCCATTTGCATGCTGTGCTGGATCTCTGAAACTTGCTATTTTCCTTATTATTTATATAGTCTAAAAGGACAAGGTTAATTTAAGCTATTCTCAGACTGCACATACTTTTTCAGTAATAAATAGAGGTTCTTCAGAAGACATTTCCTGATTCTTTTGTATATCTAAAAGGAAAAGATTTATTTAAGATATTAGCATGCCTTTTCAGTTATAAACAGAGGTTCTTTAGAAGACAGGATATGGTGGAAAAACTAACTAATTTACTCTTAGTTTGAACACATCTGTCTTTTGCTTTCTCCATGCTTTGCCAGTGGGTCCATAAATGAGACCACTGAATCTAAAGAAACTAAAGACATGAAAGTGCAATGAAAATAAAATTTGGCTTTAGAGAAGAAAAGTGGGGTCTCTTGTAGTGCCCATGTGATTCTGTGTGATGAGTGATGCAAAGCTAATACATAGCAAAATATGTGGGGGACTTCTTGCCTTCAAGGATCATATTATCTTCAGAAACCTAAGCAATCTAACTTCTAAAATTTATTGCTATGCCACCTTGTTGGACCAAACCTTCCCAGTCTATAATGTGTCTTGTCACAGTTTTCGGGTTTTGGGTGTGGTGACATATTGAGCGTTTTTCCTACCATATATTTTGCCAATGTTGTATGTGAATTTGTTAACATTAATTCTGAATTAGCGATTGATGACCTTGAATTTATGCATTGCTGTAGATATCGAGAGCAACAGTTTGGCTCTCTCTGCAAAATATTCTCTTATTAACTCTGCTTCCGAGCTTCCTTCGGATGTAAGCCAGGTTCGTCCTCAGTCAATAGTCCATGTAAGTATCTCTTGCTTCCTACTTTCATGACTAGTTTTATCTCTTTTTTACTGCTTTCATGATGAGTTTTATAAATCACTCTTTTTGGAGTACTTTTGCGGGTCTGATATGGTTTTAATTTTGACATGTCCTTCAGAAATAGTGTAGTTGGTTTTTATTGCTTTTTCATCATCTGAATTTGTTTTTTTAAACCAGGGGTACATCTGTAACTTGATTGACACTGGCTGCTTTGTTCGCTTTCTTGGGAGTTTGACTGGTTTCTCTCCTAGAAGCAAGGTAAACTCTTATTATCTGGCTTTTAAGACTGTCATCTTAAGGATGCTTTCAGGATGCTTTTGGAAGAGCAAGGATGGTTATATCTTCCGAAATTGTATTTTGTTTCCTTTCTTGCGGGTTACCTGAAATGAACAGAAATCTACTTCTTTACCTTTCAAGGCAATTTTCATGGGATAAAATGTTCTTTAAGCTTCTTTTTGTCTCCATCTCATGGGCCCTTCAAAGGAGTATCTTTGTCTGATACCCAAAGAGACTGGATAGCCCTAGAGTTCTGAGTTTTGTTTTCTTTTGCTCATTTTATTCCTTGTGGGACACTCTAATCTCTTCCTATTTGTGCTTGTGACTTTTCTCTTATTAATTCTCTTATGCTTCACTATATTTCTAACAGGCAATGGATGACCAAAGAGCTCAGCTTTCAGAAGCCTTTTACATTGGACAATCTGTTCGTAGTAGTATACTCGATGTTGGTGAACTATCTGTGACTGAAATTTCTCAGATTGTCATCAATCATCATTGCATCATATATTTATTAATTTTATCATGGATGGTTCCAGGTTAATAATGAAACAAGCAGAATAACAGTGTCTTTGAAGCAGTCGTGCTGCTCCTCTACAGATGCCTCCTTTCTTCAAGAATATTTTCTCTCAGAGGAGAAGGTAAGATTAATTGTTCTATATTTAATTAATGTTTTTCTCTTCCCTTTGATTTCAAAGACAAATGCAATGTTGTTTTAGGATCCTGTCAACCTTTGATTGCCATGTAAATGCATAGTATTTCCCATATTCTGCTTGACTGTCTAAACTGCACCAATTTTTTTCCCAGATTGCTGATTTACAATCTTTAGACTCTAAAGGTCATGACTTAAAGTGGGTTGAAGGTTTTAACATTGGTAGCACCGTTGAGGGAAAAATTCAGGAGTTGAAGGAATTCGGTGTTGTTGTCCATTTTGACAAACATAATGATGTTTTGGGTTTTATTACACATTATCAATGTAAGTTATTTGTTACTATTCATACGATGTTATTGTTTTTCTTGATGTGTTGATTTGTTAATATCTTTGGACTACTAATCTTTTATTCGTTTTGATCACCACAGTAGGTGGATCAACAGTGGAAACTGGTGCAATTGTTCGAGCTGCGGTTCTTGATGTTGCCAAGACAGAACGCCTTGTTGATTTATCTCTAAAGCTTGAGTTTTTGGATAAATCAAGAGACAAGAGTTCTAACAGCCTTACTCATAAGAAGGTTGAATCCTTTTTTAAGTCTCTTTCTGATTCCATTTCTTTGCACACCCAAATATGTACTAAAGAAGTTTGAAGAATTGGCCTTTCCATTTGTGGTTGGTTGAGACCAATATATGTGTTTCTTTCTTTGCAGATTACCGTCTCTCTCTCTCTCTTCCTCTCTGTCTTTGTGTGTGTGTGTTTTTGTCTTGTTTGGGACTAATCTATAACATTCCTGATATTAGAAACAAAAAAGAAAGGCGTCTAAGGACCTGGAGGTGCACCAAACAGTAAATGCAGTTGTTGAGATAGTGAAAGAAAATTACTTGGCAAGTACTCATTAAACCTGATGAGGTTTTGTGGTGAATAATATTTTTTATTTTTACTTATTGTATACTCTGATAGCAGGTTCTGTCAATTCCAGAGCATAACTATGCCATAGGTTATGCATCAGTATCGGACTATAACATACAGAAGTTTTCTCAGATACAATTTCTGAATGGACAAAGGTAAGTATGATTTTGATGATTAATCTTTACAGTATACATGTCTCTCATCGTTTTCCTTTTTCTAGTTTGGGTATTTGAGTGGGTGGAAGCTTCTAATGAAATTTTGTAAAGCTTAGTGTATTTGAATCCCTTGCGTCCAATTTTACTAAACTTAGTTGGCAAATAGTCTTCAAAACTTGGTTGTTGCCTGTACTATCATTGCTTTGTTTAAACCTCATGGTCTATTTGTGGCTGACATGGTGCAGCGTCAGTGCTACTGTTATGGCTCTTCCAACCTCTTCAACTGCAGGGAGGTTGCTTTTGCTTCTGAAATCTATTAGTGAGGTGACTGAGACTTCCAGTTCAAAAAAAGCCAAAAGGAAGTCTAGCTGTAATGTTGGATCGCTGGTTCAGGCAGAGGTACTTCAACTATTTTATGAATAGTTAAATACTGACTGGCCCTTGATTATTTTGTTTATGATGGTTTTCTTCTTAAATGAACTATTTAAATTTATTCATTCTTGAGCTAATAGTGTGTGGTTAAATATATATTTCATTCCTTGTTATTGCTTTTCAGATTACGGAAATCAAGCCTCTTGAAATGAGATTGAAATTTGGTATTGGTTTCCGTGGAAGGATTCATATAACGGAGGTGAATGTTTTGAATAATTTGATTTCAACACTGTTAATTAGGTTTATATGAGCAATCTTCATTTGCAGTTTGTTTTGATTGTTCTCTAATTAGTGGATGACATTTCAATTTGTTTTTCTGTTGTTTCCTTGTGGACAGGTCAATGATACCTCTCTTTCGGAGAATCCGTTTAGTAACTTCAGAGTTGGCCAAACAGTGACTGCAAGGATTATTGCTAAGGCTGGTCGATCAGATAATAAAAAAAGTCTGCTGTGGGATTTGTCTATCAAACCAAAAATGCTTGAAGGTAGAATAATATCTTGATTTTGCATTAACTTAGGGCTCAAAGGGTTTTTGCTGCTTGGCAGTTTTAATGTCCAGGACAAACTTTCCATGGTATTATTTGCATTGCATTGTTCCTGGTATCGGACATTCTTTAGGTCGCAATACTCTTGGTTTCAGTCACATCTTATCAATTATAATTTTCTTGACTGTTTTTTATTTTGCTTAAGAGAGGCTCTAACCTGAGACCTCTTATTGGAATAATTTTTTCTCTTAGCTTGCTGCCGTAATTTCTAATGTCAGTGCCTTTGGTTACCACAAATTTTTTAACTTTCATGTGCTTTTCTTTTTTGATACTCAATCATATGAACTTCATCCTATTAACTACCATATTCCAAGGACACATTTCTCAATCTTGTAGCTCTGTGTAATGGAGCATTGCTGGCCATGTCCAACTTCGACAAAAATCACTTTTGTTTCATGGGTTTATATATAGATATATAGCTCAACATTCCAGTTATGATGTTAAAAGATGCGCTAAAGGAATTAATAGCCATAGCCAAAGCATTTCTGAATGCCTTCAGGAGTTATTAAGTTTCATTTTCCCTTCTCTCTCTCTTTCTCTTTTATTATTTTAATCTTATTAAGAAACCCTTCACGGCTGCATTGTGAGGCTGCCTGGCAACATATCATGGTTAGATGGATTTTTTCTATTTGTATTCTTTGTTGCTGCATTGATATCTGTGGAACTTTTGGAGAGGATTTTGCGTCAATCAGTATCACGGACCATGATGCAACCACCTTCCTTTTAATGGATATCATTTTTCTAACTCCACTTCTTTCCTTTTCTTTTAATTTCCTTCTTTTCTATCACCCTTTCTTCTTGGTCTTAAAACTTTCTGAAGCTTGAAATTTTGGTTGGACAAATTATTCGTTTATACCCTTTGGTTAGAACTGTCTGCCTAACAGGCTAGGAATGCTTTTTGTGGTTTTGCTTTTTTTTTTTGTTTGATCAGTAGTGCTTTGGAGAAGTATCTGTAATGTTAACTGTATTCTGAACTATGTTATATTGCTCTGTTGTCAATGAAACCTACTTACCTCTCATGGACCTGAAATCCAATTCCAATGCAGATTCGTGCATGATAGAGGATAAGCTTATGCCTGAGGAATATGAGATTTCATCTGGGCAACGTGTCAATGGTTATGTATATAAAGTGGATGGTGAATGGGCCTCGTTAACAATGTCTCGGCGGTTGAAGGCAAAGCTTTTTGTTCTTGACAGTGCTTGTGAACCCAGTGAGCTTCAAGAATTCCAAAAACGTTTCTATGTTGGGAAGGCTGTGACTGGTCATGTTTTGAACTATAACAAGGAGAAAGCATCATTGCGTTTGGTGCTACATCCATTATGTGCAGCCTCTCAAACTCTTGTTGATGGGGAAGCTCCAAATATGGCTGACGTACAGAGTAATGCTCCCGTGGACAGTATTACTGCTCATTTTCAGAAAGGAGATATTGTGGGTGGTAGAATTTCCAAGATACTTCCAGGTGTTGGTGGATTGCTTGTGCAAATTGGTCCTCACATACATGGCAGGGTTCATTTTACTGAACTCCAAGACTTATTGGTTCCTGACCCGTTATCTGGATACCAAGAAGGGCAATTTGTCAAATCCAAGGTCCTAGAGATAAGCCATTCAGTCAAGGGTACCATTCACATTGATTTGTCATTTCGTTTATCTTTGAATGGCATGCTTGGTCAAAATTCAGCAGAGCTCTCAAATAATCAGTAAGTCCTGGAGCTTTATGAATTCCTAATATTGCTTCCATTTTGTTTTAGTATCAGTGCTGAACAACTGAACAGGAGGGGGCCTGCTAAACCATTCTGACGCATTCATCTTCTTGTAATCTGCATGGCTTGTCTAGACACTGATGTTCCTTTCTCAATCTATAATATTAGGATGGTTACTTAATGAAAATGAAATGATGAACTTGGTCCTTTTATTCCTTGTAAATAAGAACTTGCTTTGGCGGGACTGCAGTATCCAATCTTTGTCGATCAATTTAGAAACACTGGGTCTATGTTTGTATTCATCATCTCCCTCGACATTGCATCCATATAAAACTAGGAATAATTTCTTCAGCTAGGTTCTATATTTGGTACGGCCCACTTTGGTTCAGTTTACACAGAAAATGCTATGAAATGATGTTGGGTTTGATTGAAGCTGAAAAGCTTTATGATGCTGCTAGAATCGGTGGAAGAGTTCTCACACAATTCCATATTTCTTATTTTATCCTGTTTTCCTTTCGATTAAGGTTGAATCTAGTGCATACCTCAACCCTGCTCTGTTCCTACTCTAGCTAGTTGCCTACATTCGAGCTCATCTATTTTCATGCTCTTAAATTTCAAAACCAAATGGTTTAGGTGCTCAAATTTTGGTGATTGGAACCTAGGACAAATGTAAGCATGACAAATCATGAAAGGATCTGATTTTGTAATACTGCCAAACAACATCTGTTTAAATTTCACTTTTTTTATCTAAAATGCACGGTGACTAGGCCTTTGACCTGTGTTTTCTTGCTCGGGTTTTTAGATTTTTTTTAATATGCTCCCGTTCTGATCTTCTCTGTAATCCCCTGTTTGTAAATCTGTATTACATGTTTTATAGGGATGCTCCTAGCAAACATGTGGATAAGATTGAGGATCTTCAACCAGGCATGTTTGTACAGGTAAGAGATGGGTTCCACTTCTTAATATGTTCTGTTTTTTATTTTTTATTTTTTTATCTTTTGTTCTCTTCATCGCTTTTCATTGATTGGTCCCAGCGAGTTCATCTTGGGCATATTGCTTGGTGTCATGTTTGCTTAATCTGTTTGCTGAATCTGGCAGGGATATGTTAAGAATGTTTCGTCAAAAGGATGTTTCATTTTGCTTTCAAGGAAGCTTGATGCAAAAATTCTCCTTTCAAATCTGTCTGAGGGATTTGTAGACGATCTTGAAAAAGAGTTCCCCATTGGAAAACTGGTAACTGGCAGGTAAGTGTTTCTCTATCCTTCCTATTTTTTGTTGACTGAAAAAGTTGATGTTTAATGATGAATTGTTGGTGAGGAAGTGTACTAAGAAGCTTGATTGCAGGGTACTATCTGTGGAGCTTCTATCAAAGCGAATTGAAGTTACCTTGAAGAAATTGAGTGCAAGCAGTGCGTCAAAATCTGAAATCAGTGATCTGAGTCGCCTACGTGTTGGGGAGATAATTTCAGGCAGGATTAAACGGGTGGAATCATATGGATTGTTTATCGCAATTGACCACACAAATTTGGTAAGGAATTCTTCATTGCAAAACCGCTTACATGGTGGCCCAATAAACAGATCAAACTTTTGGGGTAACATCTGATCCATCTTTTGGTTTCATATTTAATTTTCCCTATTTGAAGGGTATCTTCAACTATACATTGTGTTTGTGTCGGTATCTTCTTTTGTTTTTAAGAGAACAAGTTTCTTTATAAGCCAATCCTTATGCTTTAATTATTGTGTGTGCTCTCTGACTTCATATGCTTATGGTTTTTATTTTATCCCATTTGCTTCCCTAGGTTGGATTATGTCATATGTCACAGCTTCCGGATAATCATATTGGCAACATTGAATTGAAATATAGAGCAGGGGAGAAGGTTACAGCAAAGATTTTGAAGGTAGATTTTCTTTTCTTTGTAAAAGAAAATGTTGGGAGATTTAAGCAGACATTAGTCGTTGGATCAGTATTTATATCATTTGACGGATTTCATATGGCACTGATATCAAAAGTTTCTTTTCCAGTTGGATCGTGCAACTTTGCTAAGGAATTCCAACAAGTTCTTTTAATAAATTCTTTTACTGTAACAAATAAAAACGTGTTATTAGCAGAAAAGTTCAGCATGCTCTTTTTAATTTTTCTTTGGAATGGAATTTTCTGACTTTCTACTGTTTATGTACTACTGTCCTTAGGTGGATGAGGAAAGACGCCGAATCTCTCTTGGAATGAAGGATTTAGATGTTCAGGATGATATGCACTCTTCAAAAGAAGAATCTGATGAAGAAATGAGTGAAAATGGTTCTATGGATGACACAAATGCTTTGAAAATGTTTCCAGAGAGCAGTTTGCTTGGTATCCAAAACATGGATGTTGAATGCGAGAATGAACATTCAATTCTTGCACAAGCAGAATCCAGGGCCTCTATTCCTCCGCTTGAGGTCACCCTTGATGACACGGAGCACTCTCAACCAAATGATTGCGTTGGTCGAAATCGGCATATTGATGAGGCAGACACTATAGTTAAGAAAAAGAAACAGGAAAAGCAGAAACCAAAGAAATTGAGGTCAATTTAACTGACACAATAGTTCATTTCCCTTCTATAATAAAGGGCCAGTTGGCTGGATGTTTATCTTTTTCTTCTGTTCAAATTTGTCATTATTCTTGGAAACCATCTGTGCAGTGAGCATGAAATTAGTGCTGCTGAAGAGAGACGGCTTGAGGAAGATGAACCTAGGACTGCCGATGAATTTGAGATGGTGATTCGAAGCTCTCCTAATAACAGTTTTCTTTGGATAGAGTACATGCGCTTCATGCTGTCTTTGGCTGATATTGAGAAGGCTCGCTCGATTGCTGAAAGGTAGTACTTAAAAGAAGATGCTGACTTGCCTTGTGTCCATTTACTTGATTTTAAAACTCTGATCTCATTAAATGAGTAAGGAAAGGTTTCTAGTTTTTATAGATGGCGATAAACTGGAGTTTAATAGAAAACAAGATTTTAGTGGAAATGGACTTGTAGGATATTATTATCGTTCTCACTTGTGAAATGATACTTAAATTTCGTGTTGCCTTGGTTTTTGAAGGGCTTTGAGTACAATTAATATTCGGGAAGAGAATGAGAAGCTAAACATTTGGGTGGCTTACTTCAACTTGGAAAATGAATATGGAAATCCCCCAGAGGTATTCAAGAGAGTTTAATTTTTTCTTGCCAATTTTATTGTGATATATATGCCAACCTTGACAAGTTGGAGTTTCTCTTCAGGAAGCTGTTAAGAAAGTATTTCAGAGAGCATTGCAATATTGTGATCCAAAGAAGCTCCATTTGGCACTCTTGAAAATGTATAAGAAGACTAATCAGAATAAATTGGTTGATGAGCTTCTTGACAAAATGATCAAGAAGTTCAAGCATTCATGCAAGGTATATTATAGGCTTTTATGGCTGTTATCATATTCCTTTTCTTTTGAGATTCTATCTTGGCACTTTATTGAATGTTTAAACTTTGCCTTATATGGAAATTTTAGGTTTGGTTGAAACGGGTAAAGTGGCTTCTGAAGCAAAAGCAAGATGGGGTTCAGTCTGTTGTACAACGTGCTCTATTAAGCCTCCCTCGCCATAAGCATATCAAGTTCGTCTCGCAAACAGCTATCCGTGAGTTCAAATGTGGGGTTGCTGATAGAGGGAGAACCCTGTTTGAAGAAATTTTACGAGAATACCCGAAGAGAACAGACTTGTGGAGTGTTTATCTTGATCAAGTAAGATTCTCTAGTTATTTTCATATATAAGAACAAATTTTAAGTCATTAGGATGCCCTCCAAAGACAAGACTTCTAGATCTTTAGCACGTCTTTCTTGTGATAATATGTTGGACTGGAAACATATATTGAGCAGTTGTCTACCACTTCTATTCAAAATAGTTTGCAAGTAACAAGGGTATCCAGGGTTTGAATTTTAATTGCTTCATTAAAGGATTAATGGTTGCAGAAGTTTCTTTATTTTATTTTTTTGGTCTTTGTCGTGTTCTTTTACTTTTTTTGGTCTTAAGTTCGTCTCTCTACATTTGGTTTTGGTCTTAGGTTTGTCCTTCCATTAACTTTTTGGGCTAATGGTGTTAAATCGCACTGTCAGCCTCATAGAATTGTAACACGTGTTAATCTTTTCTTTTTTCCTTTTTTTCCCCTATCATAATCTCAAACATTTATTGTTTTTTTGTTAAAAAACTGGAAAAAAAAAAAGTGAAGATAAAAATATATTTTTTTTAACTAAAATATTTTTTATGGTTTTAAATTTATCTCTATGATAGTAAACAAAATTTGTGTATAAAATAAAATATAGTATTAAAAAAAAAGGCTTGTAGTTAAAATTTTAATATTTTGAATGGTATTTATAGTCTTTTAACCACTTTTGAGAAAACATTCTTAAAAAATCTTTAACAAATTTATATTTTTACTTTTGAGTTAAATTAAGAAATTTGTAAAATGAAAATTAGTAAATGATAATATACTCTTTCGAAGTATTTTAAAATTATAAATATCATTGACAAGTTTAAAATTTTAACTGAAACTATCTTAATATTTTTGAGAAATACGATAAATATTTTATTTTATATTGAAAATTTGCTTACTTTCATAAAGATAAACTTATAACTACATAAGGATTATTTTGGATAACAACGTTTTTTTATCCTCAACATTTTTTATCCTCACTTTCTTTCTTTTTTTTTTCAATTTTTTTAAGTCTTATTTTTGTTAATAAAAGAGTAGAAGGATGAGATTGAAATGAAAAAAAAAAAAGTTTGATACATGTTGCAATTCTTTAGGGCTAATGGTGTGATTTAACGCTGTTAACTTAAAAAGTTAATTGATGAATGGACTTAAGACAAAACCAAATGTAAAGAGACGAATTTAAAAAAAATAAAATAAAAGAGAGTGAAGAGTCGTGATCAAGACGAAAAAGGAGTAGAAGGACCTTTGCAATTATTAACCCTCGCATCAAATAGGCTCCTTATACCACCTTGAAAAACCACTTGACCCAAAACTCTTTAATTTGTTACGTTGAAACTACCATTTGATTTTTATATATTTCACTATACATAACTTACATCTTGGTGTGAAATTGACAGGAAATCAAACTTGGAGATGTGGATGTGATTCGTGCACTTTTTGAGAGGGCAATCAGTCTGAGCCTCCCACCTAAAAAGATGAAAGTAAGTGTAATTTGCAATCGATGGACTTCATTTTGCATAAATGTTCTGGTTTTTCCTTCCATGTCTGTCCTTATTCATATGTGCTTTCGTATTTGGATTTGCAGTTTTTATTCAAGAAATATCTCGAGTATGAGAAGTCTCTTGGTGATGAGAAACTGATTGAGTCTGTGAAACAAAAGGCGATGGAATATGTTCAGAATACTCTGGCCTGATGATTGACGCTTATTTTCGGCCTCCTCAGTTTCCATTTCAACCCAACATGCTGGGATCAGTTTTTTGGTATTGTGTAGTCCAAAGATGCTACATGGTCCAGTTTTGCTGCAAATTATATGAAAAAGAAAGCACAATTTATACAGAGCTAACTGGATCTTACATGAGACATGATGATAGCTAGGTCACTCTAGTGACGGTCTTTCTTACTCAAATTTGTCGTGGCTTGCAGATGACAGTGTAGGTGGGTTTTGATGTCTGACTGGGTATTAATGAAGCGTGATTCTTCGTAGTGGTTGAGATATTATGTTGCAACAATACAATTTTGCGGGATGTAGCCCTTTTTGCACGGGCTACTTTGTATCTCTTAAGAGGATTTACGTTCAGTAATGTAAAAAAGACGAGGAGAAGACGCTTTTCTAGTAATAATATTGCAATTTTCCTCTGTTTTTGTTTTATTTTCTCATTTGGCGTTTGTTGGGAAGTTTGCACAAAAAAATCAAGGCTAAGGCAATCGGATGTTGTTGATTGTTCTGGTTTATAGCATCAATAGTTTGAATGCATTGATAACTATTAATAAATTTATTCTAATTTATATATTTTTAACAATTTTATTAACCAAGTATAATGAAAAAAATCTTTGTATTAAATATAATAATAAAATCTTTAATAATTTAATATCATATAATAATAATTGAATTTATTATAAAAGCTAAAATATAGTGAAAAAAAATAGTGACATTGTGAGTATGTATAAAAGCCCTTTTTGCACGGGCTCAGTAGAATGGTATATAATGAGAATGAATATATTCAAACATGTTAAATAATGATTGTTTTATAACAGAACAGTCATTATTTGGGGCTATGGCTGTCATTAACTGAGTAAAAAGTAAAAAATATAACCATTTTGGACATCATCAGAAGATTGCAGAGAAGTAAAAATGGAAAATACTCCTTTCTCAAAGATTATATGCCACGACCTAAGCAAGATATTTATCTTGGGCTCTGGAATTGTATTTAACAAATTTTGTTACAAAACAAAAAAAACTCGAGCTGTTTTTTTATTTCCAACAAAAACAAAATTTTCAGCTAATTAATTGAAAGAACTCTTTAGAGCTTTCAACAGCGAAGTATAAGCAGTAAGCTGAGGGAAATGGCCTCTAGTTTTTAGTATCTTAACCCTGGCATGGCTGTTAAGATTTCTCTTCATGTAGATGGCCACAAAGTTTGGAACTATAGGATCTCTTTGGGATTGGATTATAGTGCAAGGCACTAAAACTTGTGGCAGAATGCTTCTCCAGTCACTTAAAAATACAGCTTTAGCTACACTGAGTGCAATCTTGGGTGTCATTCTCCCCAAGCTGTCTTCGAACTCTGTTATTGCTGATGTGTTGTTCACACCAATAGCCATTGGAGCAAAAGCTTGAACCCAGCTCGTATAATTATGACTTATGTTCTTAAAGATAGTATTTATCGCTGATCCCGTAAAGCCCCCATTGTATCCTTTTGCATCAAGGTACCTACAAATTAACAAGACCTATAAAGAACAGGGCTAGGCTTTGGGAGGGATAATTCTACTCTAATTCCATCCATTTTAATTGAGGATATAAACTTTAATTTTTTTTATTTGAGTATTTCGATTTTTTTAAAACTGTCAATCAAATACTTATATTAATTTTTTTATTAACCAATGATGTGTTCAAATCTCCTAAAATATGAAAATATATTTTTGTACTTTTTTTTCGTAGGAGAGAACTTTCCTCCCAAATATTCACAAGTCCCAAGTAATGAATTTTCGACGAAAAATCTTATATATCCTTTTCTTTTGTTGGAGAGAAATTTCCTCCCAAATTAATATTCACAAGTCACAAGCAATAAATTTTTTATGAAAAATCACACACACACAGATATATATATATATATTCACGTCTAAATCTATTTGATTTTTTTTTATTAAAAAAAAAACTAACTGAGTTTAGTTCCAAATTTTATATTTAAAAAATAATATATTTTTTTAATTTTTTTTGTTAAATTTGAAATGGTAGAATAATTTGAGAGAAAAGTTATCTTAACAAAAAGAGAAAAAAAATACATAATTTTATATAGATAATGAACATTTCATCATTAAAAGAGAAATTGATGAAAGTATTTGATTAATAATTTTGAAAATATTGGTGTATCAAAAAAAAAAAAAATTATATGTGCTCAATTGAGAAAGAAGATTACTAAAATGTAATTTAATATTCTAAATATAACGGATACGTTATCAATTAACAGAAAGATTAACTAGAGTATTTGATTGATAACTTTGAAAAAGTCAACATACTCAAACGAAAAAAATTAAAAATTATATATTTAATTAAGAAAAAGTTAATAATTGATGCACTTAGAGTGTATTATTATATCGCTTTAGAAGCAATAAAGCAAAAACTAAGGTCATATTTGATTCTCATATTTTAATGACACTATTTAATGGATGAGGTTATGAAAAGCAAAATATATGCATGTGGATGCATTAAGATATATGGTGGAAGAACAAATACAGAGGTATAGAGAAGAGGAAAGAGAGTACAGTACACCTTGGAGAGCCACCAACTAAAATCAGTTGTTGGAAAAGTTCTGGCCGCTTGATTGAAGCAATGCATCCAATCATGGCAGACATGGAATGACCTATGTAGATAGTCTTATTCACATTCAGCTCATCAAGAAGGTTCACCAAGTCAGTTGCATATCCATTGAAACTTGAGTACTTCTTTGGATTGTAAAGGTTTGGGCTAACATTTGCTAAGAAAACTAGGTCAAAAACCACCACCTTAAAGTAGAAAGCAAGATAAGGTACGAGATGGTGCCAAACACACTGGTCTGAACCATATCCATGAGCCAGGACTAGGGTTTCACTCCCATTGCCATAGATCTTACCGTTTAGGGCTTCAAAAGTACTACCTCCTCCATAACCATGCTCTTGAGACATTACATTCATTTCTGTGATTATTAATAATGCAACACAGAAGCTATATATGCTTAAAGACTAGAAAGACAGATTTGTCAAGGTGTTTGTCTTCAGTGCTTATCTTGTCCAGTATAAATAGTAGGCCTTGTCAATCCCCTCTAATTAATATGATTTGCGTCGGCGTTAAATGTAATTCTAGTTTTTTTTTTTTTTTTTTTTTGGCTCATTAGGATAAAGTTTTTCACCAGTGATTTTGAGCATGCCCGAAAGCGAAACTAGAAGGTTAGGAATGGAGTGTCAAAAGGAACTTTATTAAAATACAATAAAAATAACATTAACAAATAGTTGCTATAGAGTATAATTTTTTTATATATATATTCTCTGAAAAAAAAAATATTCTCTGAAATAAGTCTTAAATTAAAGGGTATATTTATTTATTTTTTTTTTTAAATTAGGAATAATATGAAAACTGTCAAATTTTTTTTGGGGTGCCATCTGCTATGGACAACCCTAACCGTAACGTGATTCCACCACTAGACACGCCATGCTTCCACACCCAGACGGGCTACAGCCTACATGCGTAGAGGTTTCTTCTTGCATGTAGCCTTCTAAGTCTATTCCAACGAGAAATAATAACATAAATGATTGTTATTACCAAATAAAATATTAGATTGAACGGTAAAAAAGAGTTTATGTGACTCTTAAAACTAGAATTACTATTAATAAAAAAGGTACATAAGATGTTTAATTGATGAGTTAATGTATTAGATCGATAAAAATAGTTTAAAAAAATAAATACGTATTCATCTTTCAAACAACTATAAATTTTGATTTAAATGTCTAATTGATGCAAATCAAATGAATTTAGTAAACTTATTCAGAAGCTAATAACATAAATTCTGATTTAAGTGACTGTGAGAGTTGTCAAAAACTGTTTTTGAAGTCAAATTTCATTTTAAATATATGCTTTCGAGTCTTTTTATAATCTAAAGTTATAGAATCAGTCTAGATTGGTCTAGTTTAGCAATTAATAGTTCATGTTTAGTTTCTTTTTCTCATTTTCATATTTCTAAAATTAATTTATGAATTTTAATTTATTTTATTTTGAGTTAATAGTTGTAGGGTTTTTTTTTTTTTTTTATCATTACTTTTTGTTGTTTTAAGTTAGTTCTTCTATGTTTGATTCTTGTCTTTAATTCATCCACTAATCCCTCTATATTAAATCGTATCATTAGTCTTGTATAATTGCGACACATGTCAACTTTTTTTTTCTTAATCTTATTTCTTTTTTTTAGTACAAATTAAATAAAAAAATAAAGATAAAAATAGTTTTTTAATCCAAAATAACCTTTATGAGTTTAGATTTATCTCTATAATAGTAAGAATTTTGAATATAAAATAAATATTATGGTATTTCTTTTTAAAATGTCAAGATAATTTTATTTAAAATTTTAAATTTTTTAAATGGTATTTATGATTTTACAATACCTCAAAAAATTCTATTATAATTTTCTTATTTTCATTTTAAAAATTTATTAATTTGACTCAAAAGTAGGAATATAATTTTTTTTCTTGAGAATATTGACTCAAAATGGGTTAAAAGACTATAAATATCAATAAAAAGTAAAAAATTAACTAAAATTCTTTTTCCATTTAAAAAAATATTATAAATATTTTATTTTATACTCAAATTTTTTCTTACAATTAGACAAATATTTAAACCCATAAAAAAAAATTTTAGATAACATATTTTTATTTTCACTTTTTTTTTAATTTTCACTAAAAAAGAGTATAGGCACAAGATTAAGACAAACAAAAATAAAAATAAAAAAATTGATACATGTAGCAATTTTGTGGGGCTAACAATACGATTTACCACTATTATTTCAAAAAGTTAACGAAGAGACAAACTTAAAAAATAAAAAATCAAATGTAAAATGATGAATTTAAAATTAAAAAAATAAAGAGACACGATCAAGATAGAAAGAAAAATAGAGGAATCTCCGGAATAGTTATCCCATTGTATTTTCTATTTTAGCCCTCATTCATCTAAGACAGATTACTTATGTTGTTTATAGGTTTTTGGTCATTATAATCATATTATTTAAAATTATTCATATTTATGGGTTTTTTACAATTTACTTTGTTTTTTTTTTAGATTGTTGAATGTTAGATAATCTCGCGTCAATATGCTATACTATACATCGAAAGCTCCTCTCTTTTTTGTATGATACTAGACATGAGCTCTTGATGGATTTGAAGAATTTGATTTTTAGAATTGATTAAAAATTAAGCATGGTCTAGCATCGATCTTGTTAAAACATATCTCATATTGAATAGTTAAACCAATAACAAATAATATATAAAGTTGAGAAGGGTCCACCCACCATAAGGCTTAAGTCTTTTGGATGGAACTCAATCATTGAGTTCATTGAGTTCCATCCAAAAGACTTAAGCCTTATGGTGGATGGCCCTTTCTCAACTTTATATATTATTTGTTATTGGTTTAACTATTCAATATGAGATATGTTCTAACACTCTCCCTCACTTGCAGTCCATCTTTTGGGGTCACGTTAAGTGGCTTTAGCTCAAGGATCTTTGCTTAAGTCATTGGGCCTCTTTGAGGCTTTGATATCATATTAAATTAAATAGTTGAGATTGAGTTTCATCCAAAAGACTTAAGCCTTATAATGGATGACTCCTTCTCAACTTTATATATTATTTGTTATTGGTTTAAATTTAGTTTTGAATTGATTCTAAGATATCCCATTATGTGTGTGAGAGATTCAAAACCTTCAAAAAGTGTGTGTAAGATTCAAGACCTCCAAAAATCCATTTTTAATGACTGTTGTTTATCAGTAAAGGGTTCAACTCCCTACTTTCGACGGGAATTAAGCCTTGTTAACAAAAGCTAACGTCAGGCGTGAGAAGTAGTGCTAGGGGTTCAGGATTTATTCAGATCCTATATTGTCCTCTGTTGCCCTCGCCAAGTGTTCTTATATTCATCATAAATTGATGTCGTCATGAATATTTCTCCCAACTACTCAATTACTTTAATTTGGTGTTCTGGTAATTTCACTTTTTCAACAACAGGACACAACATGACGATGCAATCTCCATCCTGCAATATTATACTTGCACATAAGTAGATGCTTTCACATGCAAGGGGGTATCTTTGTCATGCCTTATTCCATACTAGGATATATAAAAAAGGCATGAACAATTAAAGAGAAAAGGAGTTTGCCAAATTTATTGGGTTAAAAAGTTCCAATTGCCCGGTAAAATGACTGCTGAAAACTAAATGTAAATGAAAAAAAATTAATGGATACTTTTTGCAGCATATTTATTATATTATGATCGACTGAAAAAAAGGTGTCTTTCTTCTGGGTGCTTTTCTTTTCCCCATTTGTTATTCAGCTTATGTGCACCAGACAATAATTAAGCAGCAGTAAAAACTATGAACCATCAAATGCTACGACTAGATGAACTGGAGTGATATTGGGGTGGGTGGTTCCTTTTATCTGCTCATCTAAAAATAAAATAAAAGAATTTCTCCAATAAAACTGATATGGTAGATATTGTAGTGGTGGTCAATTATAAAGCAGTAGTTGTGCTTTTTATGGGGCATAAGAATTAAGAACACCATAAATACAACTCAAGAAACTTGCCATCCCAGGGTTTATTGCTGTTTGTTGTAAGAGCTTTTTGAATTGAATGATGCTGTCAGAAAAGGGACGCTTTGTGGTACTAGTTAATGATCCTCTTCCTCATTCAATATTTTAGGTATACAAGCAGTTGACTGTTCTTTACATTTATTTCTTGGTGGCTACATGCAACAACTAACCTTAACATTATTTCTTTCCAGCAAATGATCAATAATAGATGTGTTGGTATCAAGAACTATTGAAATTCAAGATTAGTTCAATGTTGATGACAAATTTAGTTGACAATTTGGCATTGACAAAGGCATCTTGATGAAAGGAGAAAAGCAGTGTGGAAAGAAGCGACTTGAACCTACATCTAGCTAGGAAGATTGGTTTAATCTGTATCCAAACGTACAGGTCTCCAACTGTACTCTATGGCATTAAATAAAGGGGACAAGACGATTTTGAATCTGAAAGAAATTCTCAATGTAGGAGTTATGAATGGTGGTTGAATGCAGAATTGCTTAGAATCTTATCCTATCCCACTTGTCCATGCACCTTGGCTAATTGACTTTGGCATGCTTTAACGTCTTGACCAGTCTTAATTTCCTACTTTTCAATTTAAAAAGATACGGATTAGGAAAAACTTGAATTTCACAATCTTCTCTCTTGACAAAATGTGATAACCATTTACGTAGGTCAACTCTAGATAGCTTTTGAGGAAAAAAACAAAAGAGAAGGCTTTTTAGGGACAACAACATATTGTCAATGGAAACACCGAATCTCTATCATGTTGAAGATCATTTCCTTCCATGGTATGAGCTGCTCTTTTATTCAGTTACAGAAGTTGTTTTATTCTGTGGAAAATAACATGAAAATGGTCTGTTTTTACAGAAAAGGTTTTCCCTCACCTATTTGCATAATTTTAACTTGCCCTTTTTTTTGTTTCAAGAGTTCTTCTTTCTTGCTAACTGCAGATCATTTTACTTCGTCCAAATTTTTAAAGCTTTTTTTTCCTTTTTTTTCCTGAATTTAGACCTGTATTTTTTGAATTTTTGAATTGAAATTTATTACCTTTCTTATTTAATTAAAACTTTTTATTTTTTGATATTTTTTACGATTTTTTTAATTGAAATTTATTACCTTTCTTATTTAATTAAAACTTTTTATTTTTTGATATTTTTTAATATATTAATCACTCATTGGTAGTTTTATAACCGCAAGTTTTTAAAAATTTTGAAAAATAAAAGATCATAATTAAGTCAAACATGAGTAAAAAATCCCAGTGAAAAAAAATCAAAAAAATTTAAAAGTTTAAATGTGGAAAAAATCCAATTTCAAAAGTTAGTGAGACAAACATTATTTTCTAGAGAGAAGGATCGTTTGTATACAAAGCGACACTTTAAAGAGCACCTTTTGACACCAAAATAGCTCTTATCAAATACAGGACTTAAATAAATAAATAAATAAATAAATAAAACAAAAAAACCGCCCACGATGGACGTCATCCACAAGCTTAAAAGACTCGCAGGTGGAAACAAAAGATCCGTGAAATCAATCAAACTTGAACAGTGAAAACAGAAGTGGTATGATACATCGAAACTTGATTGCACAAAGAATCTTTTTTTAATTATTATTATTATCTTGCATGCAAGAACTTTACAAGAAACATTGCTTAATTTGTTCCCTCGAGGCAGGAGACATTCAGATGGAATATAGATTCTTTCTTCCTAGGAAAGGGCTTAGATTACATGATGAAAAGGGTCAATAAAAATTCAGGAGTTGGATGATACAATAATTACATCGAAGAAAAATGGCGATTTCCACCAGTATTTCACAGATTCCCCAGGGCAGCGGTTGCCATGAGCTCATAAATCGCAGTAACATTGTGACTAGAAGCTTCATGTCTATCGGAGTTGGAGTTGGCTTTGAGCAACAGTTGTCTCATAGCCACGTCTGTCTATCAATCACAGTAATTGGATCCACAGGTCTTGCACCAGCATTCAATTGCTTGTTGGCTTGACAGGTCTTGTATCATATCGGCATTACAGCGCTTGTCAGAGTGCAGGCAAGGATGTAGAAGCCACTAAAAACTGGTAGTGCCTTGGTTTTCAGTAGTTATTTCTCCACTCAGAAACTTCAAATTAGTGAGATGAAGGAGATGCAATTTAATTGAGGGCATAATGAACCCGCTCAAGGAGTTGCACAACCTGACTAACAGATACGGGCAACGTAGAATATGGTTTTAAATTTGTTTTAACCGTATCTAGTGGTCCAAGCGGTAATGATAAGACCGCCTCTTGCTGTGAACTAGTTAGCTCCAGGAACTGAGCCAGCATGTCACCGTCAAGTATCTTAGGCGCTCCAACCTGTCAATCAAGATACAGGGCAAGTGGCAAAAACAGAAGAAGGGGGAGTTAAGAAACAAAGAAAAATGTTATGAAAATGTGTGATACAAGCTCTAAATAGCCATAAACTTTGCATCTTGAAATGACCCAGATCAACTATGAAGTAAGATATAGCTGATCAAACTTCCAAAATAAAAATATTTCCTCTATATGATGATGAGAATTTTATTCACTGAAGTTCAGGACCAACCACGTGTGAAGCCACGATTTTGATCCCACAAAAAACAGTTTTGGTGGTAATTTCTGTTTCTTTAGTAACGACTTAAGCTACCAGAATCATCAACTCCCCTATTTCCACAAATCAAACAATTCAACTTTTGTAATACAAAGTTAATTACAAGAACTTGTAACAAGAAACTCATCCCAGCAAATGTATTTAGATTTTTCCAAAACATATTCTGATATTGGAATATTTCATGAACAGATGGACAGAAGTGGCCCATCAACATTCACTGAGATACAGACAACAGCTTTGAACTTCCAAAAGACAAGTACAACAAACTATCTCTATGCTTAGTTGAAAACTTACAGGGTTTTCACGGCTTCGGAACTCATGATGATCATTTCCTAAAACAGGAGCAGTTGAGGGATGAACCACAAGTCTAGATTGGACAGCTTCCAGGAGTTCATATTCTTCCCTACATTAAGATACAGAGAAAAAGTGAGATATCTATTGAGAATGGCATTCAAACAATGATTGTCCAAGAAATGTTCTAATCAGAACTACACCACCAACATGTTCCTCCTTAAAAGGAAGAGATATTTATTGAGAATAAAATTGGAGTTACCAACCCAAACAAAGGGCAACATGGAGCAAAATCAAAATGTCACCACAAACTTTGGTTTAAGTTCACAATTGCAATTTTAAAACACCATAAATCCTGGGTTGGCAACTAATACGTAAAGGTGTAAAGAAGGATGAGAAAATATGTAGGGAACAAATGATCCAATCTGATGTTTATATTTCAAGTCTCATCCAACTATACTCTCAAACTTGTACCAAAAGGAAAATATATCTGAATGAGAGATCTAGACTTTTGTACTAAAACCATGTTTCGGAAGGTCAAATTCAAACGCTGTGTATGAGGATCTACACAAAACACTTTTTTTTAGGAGAAAGAGACCTCATATTATTATATAATTTCTCAACCTCACAGTAATAAATTGTCGAAATCCTAGTATGTTCAATCTTAATAAATATAGTTTGTCTTAGACACATATTAAAACGAGAATTTTGAGTTTTCCCTAAACAATCTAAAGACAGAATTGCAGTAGGTATTCACTAAGGTTGATATATACAGGTACATTCTCGCTTACTATCCTAGCTTTTATGTCCAGCGAGAAATTACAGAACTAAAAATAGACTCACAGAAGTGGATTCCAATATGTTTAATGTTTGTTGGGCAATAGACTTGCAAAGAAACACTATTGGATTTCTCATCAATATTAACATCTATCCTTGTTCAGTTGTTAATATGTCATATGGTAAGGAAAACTACAATGCGAGGTAAATCAGAATCCCCCAATTCCTTTTGGAATTCTTTCATCTTCCCTTTTTGGTTGCAGCAAGGATTGAGTGGCAGCAATAAACAATTTCTAGATTGTGGATTCTCACATTCATAGGGTTTGGCAATCCAAACCAAGTCAGTAGGGGACCTTCCCATTCAATTTCCTTGGGAGTCAGCAAATGCCATTTTGTTGCTATTTTGTCATACAAGAAAATTTCATAAGCGGCAACCATCTTTAAAGTGATCCTAAAAGTGTCTCTTATGTGCATGCGCATTGCATTTTTGTCCAGTTAGTATAGAAAAATCGTTACATTAAAAAAAGAAACATGCAACCTCACTCCTTCAGCATCATTAGATAACCCATAACTACCTTTTCTTTTTTTTTAAAAAAAAAAAAGGATTTATTTTTTCCCAAAAAAAATAAAAATAAAAATAAAACATACCTTGATAGAGGAATAAAAACTATTATGCTTCCTAAGAGTGTGCTGGCCATGATGGTATTGTTAGATGCATCCATATTTGTAACAACACCATCACACCCCATTAATACATCATCAGCAGGGAGTTTATACATAAATGATCCCTGAAAGAAACATAATTTGACAAAGATCAAAAGAGGAACTAGCAATAAGAATCAATCAGTTCACTAAACAACCACCCAAAACTCAGCGGCAGTACACTGACTAACTCAAAGCATTTCAGTAGAATTCATACGATGAAGAAAAGGTGTTTGTGTGTGTGTGTTGTGGGGGTGGAATAAATCCTACTAGAAGTGCAAAAATCCCTTGCATCCTATTGAAGAACACATACATCCAAAACCACCCCAAACCCCCACCCACCCCACAATTAATTTGACGGTCGAGGTGGCACTCTCACTTCTAAGTTTCGAGTTCAGCAAACTCCCTTTCTGCAATGGTTTCTTTCTTCCACACAGTTAAATCCTTGCATGATTTTGCCATAGCATGATACCAATTAAACAAAAGACATTGGACACTTAGCTGCGAATGTCAAGCATTTGTTGGAAAATGAGAGCAACAAATGGTTGACTATACATCATCCTGTCCCTATTATACTATGTGCTTGCCCTGAATTACAAAATCTTCGTGCTTTGTAATTTCAATGAAAATAGCAAGGATAATATCCTTCAAACACTTACAAGATGAGCAATCATATCCTCTAGCTTTGGAGAGCAATCAGGACTTGACAAAAAAATGGTTCATATTTCCATATGCCTCAGCATAACATTTATAGTTTCAAAAAGATTTACCTTCCTGATGCTCATTGCTATCTCACCCATATAATATGCACAATTCAATGTCAAGTTGCATTCTGGACTTCCAACACCTAAGACAGAGAGAGGCTTGATATTGACACATACAATAAGAAAAAATGAAAATATTGGTAGTAAAACTGTCTAAAACAGCCAGTGCATGCAGTAGCAGAGAAATTAACATAGAACATACGTTCAAATCGATCAGAGCATGACAAAACAGCAATGCTTCCCTTCCGATCTGAAACCACTGCGGTATCAACATCCATAAGGACACAACCAGCAATTAATCTCTGAGACGGGTCACAATAAAGTTGCTCCAGTTTTTTGGACTCCTGGCACGATAGAAAGAGCAGTGACACAAGTTCAGAACAATTGAAAAGGTTTCCATCTAATAGAAAGGAAATTAAAAGCAAATGTGATGAAAAACCGGGCTAATGTCTAGCCTTGAACTGCCTGAAAAATGCATCACGTACCACATGATAAGCATAGAAAAGGATACCATCACGGCAATCACCAACAGCAATTCTGGTGTAATATGAAGTCAAGGACATTATCATAAAACGTGTCCTTCCAACAGCAAACTTTTTCACTCTTTTATTATCATTTGCAAAACCACAGACATAAAACTGAGAAAAAAGAAAGACCAACTTTATTAGCAACGGCCACAAATAAACAATACCACATCAACATCCTTAAAAACATGGGACTTCGCTACTTACAGAATTACCAGCAGATGCCAAGAAAAAACGGTCAAGATATGGACAGATCGCAAGCACCATTCCAGGCAATGTGGTTGCAGAAACAAATCGGAACTGCCACATTTCAGTTTCTTCAAGTTTGACTCCATCGCAGCTCGTATCATCTGGGCTACTGCAAAGACTACTGCTTGACAGCTGCTCAGCAGCAAAACCAACAATTTCACGAAATGGCGATGTTCGTTGAGAAGATGACCCTGCCTTTGAGCAGAATGTCATTGAGCCACTATCTGAATTTTGCAAATTTTCTAGGCAGAGGACTATTAGTCGGCCTTTGGTACTGCAGAAAAAATGCCCAGTTTGGAAATGACTATTGAACGTGATGACTTCCAAGTAAAATCATTAGGACATTCAAAACAAATCAAATTTATTTATCATTAAAACTTTTATTTTGATAAATATATATATATATATAATAAAATAAAAAAATTGCAGAAATCACACCATTGGGTGACAAGTCATGCATTCTAGCAACGTCATATTAGTATAGTTTAATCCTTCGATTTTAAAAGGCAACTATAAAGTAAACTAATAGGGACAAGAAAATGAAATGATATACCTTTCGGCTTCACCACTGGGCATGATAGCTGGACCAGAAGATAGACTAGTTCCAATTACCAGAACCTGTTCATTTCCAATCTTTACCAACTCCATGGATTTTCCTGTTTCTCCATGTTCAAGTTTAAATGATGATACTGTTGAACCACTCAAGGGGTCAACACAACATATATCAGATGAACATGTATCATTGTCATTGCTTAGTTCAGTCCTCATCACAAGTAACAACTTGCTCTCACTATGGTACAGGACCTTCCGTGGAGTACCTCCAAGATGAAACTTTTGCACATTAAGCCTCTTGCTATGCACCATTTCCACCTGAAGCATCATGAATCAAAGACCATATGCATTATTACGACCCTGGTAGACTAAGTCAAGGATCTGTATATCCACCTTCGAGACACAACATTCAAGAACTACAAAAGGAAAGGAATCCTTGCTAACATAAAATTCAAAGGACCTCTATTTCAAAAAAAAAAAAAAAAAGTTCCCAGTTATTATGATAAGTCAGAGAGTGCCAAGTGGAGCCACCTAGAAACTCTAATGACATCAAAATAATGCAAGAAACAGTGATGCTCACAAAATTTTGCATTATTAAGGTACCTTTAGGTACAGTTACATCTCATACTCTTTTTTCTTAGTGAAATTGCACAAAGAACACAAGACAGCACTATCTAAAATTCCAACTTGGCTCTAGTGTTAGTCCCATGAGACCTCCAAGAACCCAACGAGATGAAAAGTTACATATAGGAGCATTCAGTATGGCAGAGTAGAATTCAAATGGATTGTAATCTAAGGGCTCCGATTCTTGGTTTGGTAAAGAAATCACTCCTAGGAAATCTAAAATTCCCAAATACTCCCACAGCCAATTTCAGGAAATGCCATCCACACCTTTTTGGTTAGGAATCTGGCATTTCCAGGCATCAGATTCCCAAAATCTTAAGTCCCAGGAGAGGCAAGTTTTTCATGCCAAACCTACTGTATCACAAATGATCAACTCGTAATCCTAATTACTATTTGGAAGAGGAATAGAAAAATCTCAACTTTTGGATCTAATTCTCCCTATCATTTCTGTGTGGCCACATAACATTCAATAAAAAAATAAATCAAACTTAAATATAAACTAGACGAAAACTTCATAATAATAGTCACATTAGTGTGTTTCACCATGAATAGCTACTTTTAGCACCATATTTGTTTTGTATCCTCTGCAGATGAAAATATAGTTTCTAACATGCTGAAACAAGAAACAGTAACCTTGACAGATAAAGCTCAGGAATCAGAACAGCTCATAAAATCACAGGCAAGAATGCTCACCAAATGAAGACAGTTGTCTGCAACAAATAAAATCCCATTCGGGCATTCAGCAGAGCATACAGGTGTTGCATGTGTTGAAAGCTGAAACGATATTGAAGTATAAGAGAGGCTGTGCCTTGCAGTGTGCAATAACCAAGGCCTATCACTGAGAGCAATCATATCTGAGTTGAGTGAATCACTCAATGGAACTAGGAAAACAGGAGTAATGCCAATCCGACGGGTGGCAATCAATTGCAGATTAATCGGAAGGTCATCCATTGTCTTGTCAGTTGAATCAACAGCAAGCGTTTGGGGCTCAAAGGAAATTTCAACTGTATTTGATATAGTTGTATCAGAAGTTAGCATACAGGAACCAATAGCACATCCATGGCTAGGTATTTCTACTGAAAACATTGAAGAGGCAGAAGGCCATTCAAATCGAAGCAGCATTCCATTCCTTAAACCAGAAAGAACATAAAACCGATCAGCTAGTACAAGCCTTACATCCTGAGGGATGCAACCACTAACAGCAGTTCCCAAAGTGCTTGTTAATGATATTGTTCCGGAAGCAATAATTCTTAGGCCATCATTAGGCACAAAAGACACAACTTCCACTGAAGGTTTATGTGTCCCGATAACAAAGGTATTGCCAGTGTCAACCCCAAATGGAAGGGCAGCTGCACAACTATCAAACGCAGGACTCATAAAACTAGATCGTCCTCGCTCAAAACGTTTTTGAGGAATGGAGATGCAGGATAGCTCATTCAGCAATCTCAAATGTTGCATTTCAAATATTTCATAATGAAATGGTGAAAGCAATCTGACCCCGAGAATATATAGAAAACAAGGATTAGAAGTAGAAACAACAATCAAGTTATGTCCAACAGCCCCCAAATTGATACTTATATTAGCTGGAAACCAAGATGAGCAAACTGGGGAAGACAAAGGAATACCTTCTGGATGGGCAGCCTTGGTAGGCAAACAAAGCCTAACTGCAGTCTGATGAATTTGGACCAGTAAACCATCACCTACCAGTCCACATGCCAGAGTACAGACATCAGGCTGAAAACCAACCAAATCTGTCACATCAGTAAAGCTTAATCCAACTGACAGTACCCTGGTCTCTTCAACAAATGATAGCACGAGAAAAGAATGATGCAAGTCATCTACTTTCATTCGAATTGTCCAAGTCCCAGTAATGCCTTGATATATAGGAGCAGTCTTCAGAAGCTTTTCAACAATGATACCGCTTCTAATAATCCTTAATGACCCCTCAGGTGCGACTCCACAGCAGGCAAACATTTGATCACGCTCCTCATCGTGATAATCCACAATGGACATATCCAAGATTGGTGCAACATTTTGAATAGGACTTACATATCGCAGGCTTTCATTTTCCATTTTCAGGACAATTCCGTCTCCCATCTCCACAAGAGCAGCCAGGAATCCATCTTCAACCCACAAAAGGGCCTTACATGATTGGCCTTTGTAAAGACAATCAGAAAGATTAACTTTAAGGTCTTCCGAGTTGTAAGAAATCTCAATCATGAAAAATTCCCCCGTGTCTGCACAGAAAACCATCCTAGGGTTTTTATCATTTTCTGGCTCCCAACTCCAAGAGCATGCACGTTTCAAAGTTGATTTTACATTGCTCCCTTCACCATCAATACACATGGGATCATAATCTTGAAGCTCCAATAAAGCACGTGCAGCAACACTGAATGAACCATCATCATCAAAATCAGTAACTCTACTATCTTCAACAAAACTCTGCTCCTCCACTGCATTGGGAAAATAATTCAAGCTTGTTCTACAGACACAACGGGGGTGGACAGCATCTCTAAGATCCATTAAGAGAACATCACCAACCCTGAACATAAGGGCAAATCCATTGGAACGAGGAACTTCAATAATGTCATGCGCTAGTGGTCCAGATTCAACAAACTGTGAAATAAAACTTATAGCATGGTCTCTAATGTCCCATCTCAATAACAGCAGTTCATTTAGGAGCGCTCCCCTCCTGCACTACCAACAAAAATCAGTTATAGTCTTAAATTAACCTTTGCACAACACCTAAACAAAGATAAAGAGGAAAAAGTTTGATCCTAAAGTCGGTGCATAACGGAAAATATCTTTCAGGTTCCCAAAATGGTAGTATAAGCATACTAAATCGTCATACCTATTTAGAATAATGGCTAGTACAGGATTATGCTCCTTACTTGGATGGCTAGAATCCCTTGAAATAAAGCACATGCTCCATATGGTACCAGATGTGAGTGGTCTCTGGATAGTTCTGGCAACATTTGCATTCCCTTCATTTTCAGGAGGATAAAGTATTCTCTAAAATTATGGCAAATGGAAGCATTTCAATAACAGTGCTTAGCATTCATTCAGAAAATAAACTACATAGGATAACTCTATCTTTTGATGTTATAACATAATAGAAGTAGAATCAATATCTAGCTGTCAACCTCATTAATGATCTCGCTGCCACCAGATATTGAAAGGGAAAACAAAGCCAATCGGTCTTCATATGCGCTAGTAGCCACAAAACAACCACTGGGAAATGAAAAGCACAACAGTTAGGAACTCAATTAGAAATGCAAATGTGAATTTTTCAAGTATTTCTTTTTTACAAAAAAAAAAATGAACTATATTCTCACACAGAGGTGAAACTAACTAAAAAAGGTTAAGAAGGAAAATTGCAGAAAACTAATGCTAGTGCCTGCAGGAAATCAGTTGATGGGTTATCAAAAAGTATTGTGATTGTATCCATGTCTTCTCTCGGACAACAAATGGTTCCTGCAAGCAAGTCTACTCAGAACTAATTGTTGGCGTGAGAATCATAAAGTCATCTTGACATTAAGTTAAACTCCTATTAATGAAGACAACTCAATACTCTCAAGTTGCATTGCCTATCTAAAGTACCAAATACAATCTTAATCATATAGTACATAAGGCAACTACATCTAAATAACGCACATAAATGATAATCAAGATGTTTTTATTTTCACTTCAAAAGAGAGCCTTGCAACTGAGCATGTTTAACCAAAATTATTCCAACTTTCTGTCCATTTATTATATGTGATGTTTTCGTTAGAGGAAAAAAAAAACATTTTACAAATCATTACTTAAACATATATCGCCAAGCTGCTCAGTCAGCACCCTCTTCAACTGTCAGAAAGCTAGCAGTGTTGTTAAAAGCACCAGGAGCACTAAAGCTGAGGGATCAGGAAACAAGAAGCAGGTGCAAAGCACAAATTTGTAACTGTGGATGTCAGAACTCATGTTTGAAATAAAATGTATGAAAGATTACAAGAGAACAAACTGTATGGGAGAAAAGCTAAAGGTGGAAAGAACTTCTCAAGTTGTGCAGAGAAGAAGAATCTTCAATCATTATGCAATAGTTAATAAGTTGGTGCTGCAATTATCTAAACCTTCCCTATCAACTAAGTTTAATATCCCTAACATGAAATCTTGTATATGTTTAGTAAAGACTGTAGGCCCTTTACTATGATGCTAATTAGTAGACGAAGCCCGTACAAATTTAAATAGCATAAAATTCAATGTTGCTCTTTCCATATCTATAGCAATTTGACTAACCAAAGGCAATGTATACAGCAGAAGAGTTAAACATTTGAACTTCAATTACATAGCCTCCTCTGGTTGAGAGGCAAGAAAGATATCCAAGTTAAGTGGCACAGTTTGTAACATAGAGAACAGCTATGCAAAGAAGCATTCATTGATAAAAGCTGCTTGCCTGGAATCTACAGCTAGCATTCTTCCAAGCTGATGTCTTGAGTTTCCAGGATTCGAAAGTTGAATTTGTGTCAATGGGAAAAACCTATCACAAAAAATAACAAAACCAGTATCATGACATTTCAGTAATATTTCAATTTGTAAGAATGAACTTAGAAAAGGAAAACAAAACAAACCTGTGCATTTCATTGCAAAAAGTGAGAAATGTAAGTCTTCCAGAATCAGAAATAACAACCAAACGGTCTTTTCCTTGCACCTGAAAAGATTTATATATAAAAAATTCCTTATCAAGTAAACATCTCTTAATGTGACGCAACATATAAAGAGATGTCCTATAAAGAGTTAAGAATTCATGTACTAACAGACCCACCGGTGGAGTCCGCGCATGGAACTTGTCATTCCAAGGTACAACAGCAATATCTTTAATCGTGCCGAATAAAGGTTGTTCACATATTGTCTGTACAATTCCATCTTCCCCTAATATCGCCAACTCTATTGACGTCTCCTGCAACAAAAATATTTATAAAAAAAATAATAATCCGATTCCGCAGCAGCATTAATTTAATTCTCTCTTCATCATCGAATAATAACAATAATAAAACATTTAGAAATTTACTTGTTTTCTTTGCCAGGATAAGCTAAAAAATATTCAAAATTCAAGTAACCTAAAAGAAAAGGTCTAAATAAAGTGTAATCAGTGTCTGATTAGCACTTAATAGTAAGGAGTAACGCAGTTAATTAAGGAAAAAGATAGAAAGTTGGTGTCTGACCTTGCCAAAAACGATGTCGAAAGATAAAGGAGAACGGAAGTGACCGTAAACGGCGTGTAAAACAGCGGTACCTCTCAGAACAGACTTAGCTAAGTAGTGAACTCCGTTAGATGGCGTAGAGGATGAAGAAGAAGATGATGAAGATGGTGGTGATGATGATCTGGCCTTTGCATTCGAGCACTCTTCCTCTGATACTGCCATTTTTGGTTTACTAGAAAGCTAGGGTTTTTTTTTTTTTCTTTATTGGGTTGTTTGGTTCACGAGAAAGTGCGATTGAGTTTTCCCAATCCTCCTGGTTTCGACGGAGATGTACCGTTGGATTTGGAGCGTTATGTGTTTCCTGGTTCCATCTTCCACGTGGTTCAGTAGGTACATCACATTCACAGGCATACAAAAATATAACAAAGAGAGAGACGGGTTTTTGTTTCCCTTCCTCTTCCATTTTTTTTTCCTTTTTCTTAGGAGTTAATTATAATTTAGTCCCTATATTAAAATATTTATAGTTTAATCTTTCTGTCAATTTTATGGGCTTTTTCAATGTATTTAGGGTTTTTTCTTTTTTTTTTTGAAAAATAGAAAAAACAAGTTAAAAAAAAAAGGATAAGATGTGAAAATTTGATTACGAAACGAGCATTTTTTGAAGGAAAAAAAAAAAAAAACCTACAATTTTGAAGATGGCCAATAGTCAAACCTAGTCCAGAGACATTTTATCTTATATACTACAAGAACCATCTAATCAGTTGGTAAACTCCAGTATTTTGTACATAAGTCCAAACGTTGCAGATGGAAACGTAACTGAAAGATTAAAAATAGCTAGAGGCAGCGAGTAATAAATAAAATCTATCTCTACGATTATTCTGCGTTCGGCAACAGAGTTGGTGGTTTATTATGGTAATAACTATCGTCAAACTCCATTTCACGTCCTCATAAACGTCCATCATAATATTCTATTGCTCTATTCGAATCCAAATTGAGACCGACCAAAAGGTTGGTTAGGTATCATTAGTTAACTGTTGGCTCTTTATAACTAGAGAATCAAAGTTTTGACGAAATGTTTGATAATTGACATCAATGTTAAAAACTTACTGCAGAAGATTAAAATGCTTCCAGTCAGTAAGACAACGCTATACAAACATACTAATTTGTTAGCAAAATGGAAAAAAGAAAAGGTAGTAATTAAACTTGTTGAAATCAGATTTTACAAATTGAAGTGCCAGTATATGAAGAGGCCCTCTTGAGTTGAATTGCCAGTATATGAGATGCCAAGTGAATCCAAACGCGCATGTCAACACAAGCATTACCAACTAAAGGCCTGTGCACTAGGCAGTACATGAACCCTACAATCCATGATCTACTGTCCCTCTAAGGTTCCAAGAGCCTCCTTGAGAAGTTTCTGCGCCTCTTCTCTCCTCCTAGACAAGGGAAGGAATAAGCAGTGAGGAAAAACGTTTTAGCATAATTTAAAATGAAATACCACTAATGCGAATAAAGAAAAGGAACAATTTGTCAGTCAATAACATCTAGCCCCATACCCTTGCAGTGCTCAATGACTAAAGATATTAAAAAAGATTATGCTTTTATTGGCTTGGCAATAATGTAAACTTTAAAGGTAAGCGGTTGCCAAACTTTGAGCAAGCATGCAACCACTATGCTAAACTTTCTCCTAAATTTATTTGGTGTCTTAACAGTCAAACAATCAGGCACAGATGCAACCAGCCTAGTTAAAGAGAATATAACAAATGTAGAAACCACAATCAATTTAGATCAATTGGTTTATGTATCTTGCTTTTGGAAGAGGGCATTGGGGCAGGACGGCAGGTAGTAACGCTCTTGTTGAGAAGGAAAGCAATATGCCTAATACGATGTAGAAATGGTTACCACTTCGATACATTTTTCCTTGTACCCCATAAATGAGATAGAAAACCTTCCGGCCATTGTAAAATTGATCAAAAATATCTCCAACACAGTCTGCCAGATCCAGATCACTTGTCGAGAAACTATAGCAGCATACTGTTTCCTCAGTCCCATGCTAACATCTCAAAAGCATGTACAGTAGCTATGTTCTTCAGACTTAACCATGAATTAAAGGTTCTAGGAAAGAAAGAAATTCATTCCAGATGCTTTAGCAATTAAACAAAAACAAGGACTATTTTTTCAAGCAGATCTAAGCATTACATAAGATATTCAAGAATATACCTCTTAATATCCTCCACTGCTTGTTTACGTCGTTGTATCTGAAGCTCTAGAATGTGAATTAATGTGGCCCTAGCCTATGGGGAAAAGCCATTCACACAGTGAATTTAATTCTCAGACCAAACCAGAACAAAGCATGCAATATACTTCAAAAAGCACTTCACCTGATGGGGACGCAATGAATTGAGAAGGTGATGCAAATTCTTGAATATAAGGGATATGTCTTCCACTCTCCTAGCATATTGTGATGGTCTCTCAACAAGAACATCAGCAAGCTCCAAAATGTGAAGCTGCAATTCTCTATTAAGTGACCTTAGTTCTTTCTTGAAATCTACAAGGGAAAAAAAAAAAAGCATTAATCAGTCAGCAGCTTGGAATATATAGAGACCTAAATCATTAAAGAAAAAGGAAACAACCAATCAGTCATTTTATCAAGTTCCAGCAAAACAAAAGTGTATAAGAAGATTTTCCTCCATTTCTTACCAAGGATGTCTCTTTCTGTCTCTTTGCAGAACGTCAAGCAAATCCTAAACCATATAAAAGAGATAATGGCAGGCACAATACTTCCTCATACAATATTTTTGGCTAGTCTAAGTAGGATTTTTCATTTGGATTACTGCCTAGTATTGTTCATAAAGCAGACCAAAATATGGAACAGCTGTACCATGCAGTTGCCACCTTGAGTAAGTTTTATCATCAAAACTCAAAAGAAATTACACAAACAGCAAGAAAAGATTTCTCCACACAACAATCAAATTAACGGCTTATCATTCACCTAGAGAAACAAATAATCATCTAATTCCCCAACTGCAATCGACAGCCTTCAAAAGAAAAACCTTTTTCATTAAAAAAGAAAACAAACAATATTTTGCAAATTCGGCATGTATTAAAATTTCTTCATTATACCATTGCTCTATACTTCCATAAAAATATACAATCAAGAAGCACTGAAGTAGAGGTAAACATACCAAGATTTGGTCCTTTCGGGTACAATTGTCGCACTCCTTGCTCTTCTAAGCTTGGAAGCACATCATCAGTCTAAATTTTTTTAAAAAAAAAAAAAAACCACCAATTAGAAACCCTAATTCCAAAAAATACCAAAACAAAGAAATCCTCTAGACACACACACAATGTGCACAACTGGAGCCCTAACATCCCATAAACACTAAAATTTGCTTCTTTTCATTCCCTTTCAAATCAATTCTAAAAATGGAGCAAATAATTAAAAAAAAAATTGAGAGAGAGAGAGAGAGATTACAGTGTAATTGCTACCATAACACACATAAGTGCCTTCAATAGGAGGAGGAGGTTCTGGAGCTGATTCAGGGTTTTCAGTATAATCTTTGTACAATCTGTAAAACGGCGGTGGTGGTGGGTATGTAGCTGTTGCCATTGCAAAAACTCTTCGCCGCTCAACCAAAAAGCACAAAAAAGCTTTATATTTTAAAAAGTTTCTCGGAAAATTGGAAAAAACTCCAATTCCTGTTTGGTTCCGAGAAAAAAGAAAATTTCAGTTTGTGATTTAATTTCCTTAAATTCAATCCGGACCGTCCACTGCACGTTCCAGAACGTACATGCCCCTAATGCCCTTGCTTTTATTGGAAACCCGAGAGGGCTAGCCCCTAGGCCTTGGAGTTTCAAAAAATGTAAGGGGTATGATAGTAAACTGATATATTCATGGTCAACAACAAAATGACCGTTAGAAACAGTTAACAATGTAAAACAAGAGAGAAAAGCGGGGACAGGGCCACAGCTGAAAATTCTACCACATATGGTGCTAAAAAGAGACAGATTGATAAAATAACCCTAAAATTTTAAGTGCCCATTTGGTGACTTTCTCTTTTCAGATCTCTAAAGCATCATATTTGGAAGAGAAATCCAGGTAAATGCAAATTCAAGTCTTTTATATTCTATAATTATCTCATTCTCTATGTGGTAAAAGTCTTGATTTTTATTTTCTTAATTGTAGACTAAGGATTTAAGCCTAGATTTTTGAAGAAAGATAAGGTAATTTGTTATTAAAAAAAAAAAGGAATGAAGGACTTTAAATGGGACTTTGTCTTTTCCAAGCGGTAAAGTTTGTCTTCCCCAAATGCCAACAATTTAAGAAGAAGATTTGCAGAAATTCAGATTTGATGGCCTAGAATTAAACTTAACCTTGATTCTAGAATGATAGCATTCGTTTGGTTCTGATTGGTGGGTGGATATGAAAGTTTATTGGCTTTGATTCATGGTTTGTGGAATGAATTTTTATGTAGGTATACATTATAAGCATGGATCTTCCTGCGAAAGATGTGGAGCTTCTACCAGAAAATGAGAAAATTCAAGATGAGAAAGAGAGAGGACCCACATTTCATTGTGAGCTCTATGACACAGAAATGGTTCGCAAGATAGCTCAAGTTTTCCTCCCAGGATTATCCTCAGCTTGTGTCGATAACACAACTGGGGATATGTTTAGGTCCCCTGGTTCGGTAGCTGTCGATATTAGGAAAGAAATGATTGATTATCTGACCCAGAGAAGTGAAAGTTTTGTTGCAGAATCAGTTGTACTAGAAGGTGGTCCAGATGCAGAGGTATCCGACCATCCCTTTGATATAATTTCTGATATGGTTGATGACTTTGCGAGTTTGAAAAGGAATTTGTTTGGTCGGGTTTCAGGTTGGTTACTAAGTGAAAAGAGAGAAGATAAGATAGATGATTTCGTGCAAGAGATGGAAATAAATGGGTTTTGGTTGTTGGACAGGAGAGAAACAATTGCACAGATTTTGGTTAAGAATGTTGACTTCAAGAACATTTTTCATTGTGACAAGAAGTTCAACACTGCTGAAGAGCTGGCTGAGCATGTTCGCAACTGTGGCTTTAGGACCATGAACTGCACAAACGAGGGGTGTACCACTGTATTTTGTGCAAGCCATCTTGAGAAGCATGATTCAACTTGTCCTTTCAAAATAATCCCATGTGAGCAGCAGTGCTCAGAAAACATCATGAGACGTGAAATGGACCGACACTGCATAACTGTCTGTCCTATGAAGATAGTGAACTGTCCTTTCTATGCTGTGGGTTGTCAATCCACTGTGCCTCATTCTGTCCTTCAGCAACACCGTTCCGACAATCTCCGTTCACATTTGCTGTATACTCTTAAAAGTATCCACAAGGGAGCATCAGAGGAGGATCTGAAGAAACGTGTTGACCAAATAGTGGAGGTGAGTCTTAGTTGATTATATGGTGTTTTGCTTATACAATTATTGAACATTCATGGTGGTTTGCTGTAGCTTCCTATGTTTTTGATTTGTTATTAATTCAGAAGGCATGATCAAGAAACTTTGTTAATCCTTTTTCTCACTAGTTGCAATTTTACTTTGGAACATTCTTTAAGCAAAGCCTTACCCATTCTGTCTTGTGAATGGACATGGGAACATAAATAGAAGCATGCCGTGTGTGTGCCCACACCCATAGAAAGGCATCCCGAATACATAATTTTGAACCTGTTGGATCACTGCTTAAAGCTTTTGAGAATTGGTTGTTTTTGTTCTTTAGAACTTTTCCACATTGGGGTAGGATCTCGTTGCAGATGCTGTTATTATCACACCTTTGGTGGATGGGTTTTGTTGTGTGTGGTTCATCAGTGAGTTTGATTAGTCACAAGGGAACTGCAATATGAAATTTATTTTGATCACGGAACACCTATTGCAATGCAGTACACAATTTGTTTGCTTTTATCATATCTGTCAAATGTGGCATGTGAATTTATTGGCAATACTTAACCAGCGGCAAACTTTTCATGCTTTGTCACAGTTATCTTCTGGTCAACTAGCAGACGCTAGAGATGTAAGATCTCTAACCCTCAAAGTCAAGGATCTTGAAGCAAAGCCTGGGCCATTGGAAGTTATAGCTGCTGAAAAGGTTAGTGAAGAATCCAACAAGGCTGGAGAGAACAGTAGGGAAGATTCCATTGAGGCTGTAAAAAAGGGTGGTGAAGAATCGACTGAGGTGGCGAAAATTGGTAGTGAGAAATCCACTGAAGAATCGACTGCGGTAGACAAAACTGGTAGTGAAAAATCCACTGAGAACATAAATAAGGTTGGTGAAGAATTTTCGAGCATTCGAATTTAAGAGCTTGTGCATGAAAGAAAGCTGCAATGCAAGTTCATTCTGAACACACTCCTGCCATGCTGAAAAAATCAATGGGTGAGATGAAGAAACTTTACCAAGAAGGATACTTATGTCGGCAGCTTCGGTTCTTTTCAAGTGCCCCAACTCTGTTTCCTCATCAAAAAATTTGGGCTTTACAATTGGAGGTTGATTTTTTTTCTCCTACAGGCTATACCCTTTCTTTTTTATTTTTTATTTTCTCTATTATACAATCTTGTGAAAGGAATGGCAAAAACTGTGCATTTTTTTCTCAAGTCTCTTCGCTCATGTTCCTTTCGTTGTAAGATGTGAGAACTTTACCACCAAACATCCAAAACTTGATGTACTTGAAATATACAAATTTTTTGAAAAAATAAACCAGTTTCAGAAGGTTGTAGTTAGAATTAAAGGAAAGGATGTAAAATTGCTTCTCCAAATGTAAATCCCAAGCACTCTGGGACCATCCTGGTTCTGTTGAACATCAAAAGCTGATTGTCAGGAAATTTGGCTACTCATTGCCTCTTGCTTCCTTCCTCCACGCATAAATCGAGCAAACTTCTCAACTTCATGGTTAAAAAATCTACACACCATTCTTACTTTAGCTATATAGCTGGCCACTCTGGTTGCTTTGCAGAGGTAAAACAACCTTCTGTGATTTAATCATCACTGAGAATCTCTAGTGCGTGATAGTTCTACCCTGTCTAATAACTCCCAAGTAGAAGATGTCCGGACTTGCTGTCTTGTCCCAGTCCCAGCTACCAAAATTTTGTCCAGGTATTTCGCTCAGATTGTCAAATATGCTTCCCAACCTGATAAATAATTGTATTTCCTTGCATCCACCGTGCAACCAAATTCTGTTGTAAATTCAGACAAGAAGAGTTTAAAACCTCTTCAAAGAAAGGGCGTGGTGATAGATGTCACAATTCATTGCACGAGCCTTGGTCCATTAATCTCCATACTTGTACATGAGCGAGACCAAAACATACATCATAGTCCTACTATTCTCAAGAAAGGGTGGCTTTCGAGGCATGAGCTCAGAAGTAACAACAAATGCAGAGGGACCTCTGTTTTCCTCAACAATAGGCTCCTCACCTGCGCTATCACCATTATCTCCACCTGTTTGCTCAGCCAATTTTTCATAGCACCATAAACCTCCTGCGGTTTATAATAGATAAGTTCAACCGGCCTCAGGGCAGCCTTGGCTGCAGCTTTAAAATTTCCAACACGTTCTATATACTCCAGAACATTCTGTTCAAGAACTGAAAGCATAGGCTCTTGCTGTAGTCTTTCAACATACTCGTGCGTATGCGGATCAATACATTGCAAGCTCTTGAAGGACTCGGTACCTATCCTCTCAAGAAAAGCCAATAAGTTTCCCATTGTAATCGAATATTCCCATTGTAATCTGCTCCCTTCTGGGTTTCATTCTCATCAGGCTCAACCATATCATCCACCACAATATTCGAGTGCTGGACCAGAATGTCAAGTTTTGCCAGAAGATTCATTAACACATTTATAGGCATGTATCCAGTTAGACCTGGATTCACATCAAACTGGGCAGAGACTACACTAAATAGAATCTCAAGCTTCTGTGCAGTAGTCTTAGCAACCTTTGTCAAGAAAGTCAACTGCTCAACCAGCTCAAATATTCCAGTTCCCTTCCTACCACGGGCACCAACAATTTCTTTGAATTTTTTGTTAACTGAATCCCAAGTTATTTCACTGCGATTTTGCATAAACTGCTTATCCATCATCCTCTCTTTCTTGCTCATCATTTTTTTCCGAACACCCAGAAAACTCAGGTTGGTCATTCTGATGATCCTCCTGATCCTCTTCATCGGACATTGCAATCTTTGAAGGGTCTTCTTCAAACTCCAAAGGTTCCTCCTGTGGCTCCGGTTCTTCATCACTCTTCTGGTTCTCTCTGTATTTATTGATCAAACCCTCATATTGCTTGTTGTTGTTTTTTTTTTTTTTAATTTCTGCTTCATTGAGTTTAAAGCCTAATCATTGCTACTAATCATCTTTTTCTTTGCTTCCTTATTCGCCAAAGCTTGATTTAAGAAATCTACCAACATAACGAAAGTTTTGATTTAAAGGGTAGGGGCCTTCTCAGACTCCATAATCCTCATAACTTTCTCAAGTTGCTTATTTACCTTATTAAAGCTATCTTGCAAGCTCACCCAATCGTTAATTTTCATAGCATTCTTCATTTGATCAACAGTTGCCAACTTCTCTACAAAACGTTTGTCCTTAGCCGACCTAACCACACGCTTTTGATCATCAGAATCATCGCTATCGCTAGCAGTTCCTATAAGATATCTATTCTGGGCAGTCTCAGTGGCAGACTGTCCAACTCCTTCATCGAACTCCTTTATATAATCATTCTCCTCCTCATCATCATCAGAAAAGGACCCACCCTATATCAAGAAATCAAAAAACCAGACAACAATTTCAATAAAATAAAAGATAATAAACAAGTACAGAAAATAGCAATAAACTTCCCCTAGAATATTAAATAAAAATCCCAAAAAATATGTCACCAACCTGTTTCTAAAATCTCGATGCCATCTTTTCTTCTTTCCTTGTTAAATAAAATCAGCAATGAGAAAACCTCAAGAATCTGCGCTAACAAACAAGTACGAACGTTTAAGGAAAAGAAATAATGAATGAATGAATTTAAAAATATATATAGATTGCTTAAAAATAAGAGGTTTTTTATAAAACGATGCAGAAATAATAGAGATTCAGTTTCTGGATGAAGAAAATCAATTACTATCATATTTAAATTGTTTTCTCGGAAACCAAACAGAGATACAGAAAGAGGTACAGAGAATGTGTGAATGCTGTTGTACCTTAAAAGAAACAGATCGAAAGCTCGAGGAGGAGAGCGGCAAAGGTTTTGAAACAGAAGAAAAAAGAAGAGGGATAAGGTTCCTTATAGTAGTACGACGTCGTCGATTAAATTTGTTTTAGTCCTGTGTTTTGTTGTCTGAATCTGATTCAAATATTGGGCTTTGCTGAATCTTTCTTTTAATTTATTATGGGCTGATCCAGGGGGCCCACTAAGTAACCTATAGATACCTAATCCAGTTGTACCTGTCCCAAAAAGGAAGTTACATTTTAATTTTTTGTTTTTTTTTTTCGGTTGTGGATAGGACCCTCCAGACTGCAGTCCGACAATCAAAGATAAGCAGTGATCAATAGCTTGGTATTTTTTGGATTAGTATCAGTGGATAGTAATTATCCGGACGGGAAAATTATATTATCACGATAAGAATGAATGGATCACCATTCATTATAAAATTGAGAGCCTATTCTAACCTTTTTTTTTTTACAATAAAAAATTAAATTTGAACTCGTAGTCTTCTTATAATTATAAAATATTTGATGTCATTAGATCATAGATATTAATAGCAATCTACTTATTTTTGCATGTTCTAAGTAGCATTAGTATTTTTCCATCTTAATATATATATCCAATTGTTATGAATATGAAAATTACATTAGTTATAAAAGAGTTTTTTATAGAGTATTTTGAAATCTCATTTTTCAAAAACAAGGGTTTTTTATTTTATATACCAAGCAATCACGTACTTTTATGTCCCCAAGTTATGCCATCTTTCTATTTTATTTTTACTCTTTTTATTTAAAAATATTAAAAAGAAAATGCAATCCTCACTCTTCTTCTTTCTCTAACCCTAATTAATTCTTAATCCAACACTTTTAACATCTTAATTTGATAGACGGCATGATATAACTCGATTTTAGTTAGTTCAATCTCACACTTTGGACGTCCACTTGATTATATAAGCAATAGTTAGGCTTGATTTTTCTTTTTCTTTTCTTTTTTGGTTGAGATGCTTTCTTAGATGGATTATGGAACTATGGATGGTAAGTTAGCCCACGAGTAATGCTGTTCAAATAGGCCTAAAATACATTGATGGAAAGGCCGAAGCCTAGTTTCATACTCGTTGCTTTGCCTTCCTCATCATGAGTCGAAGCCTCGCTGGATAAATGGCCATATTATATCCCGAAGAAATTTGAACGCCCTATCTTATCCGGCCTAGAAGCGGGGCTTGTATTTTCATAAGAGTTTCAGGCAGGATCCTTTCGCATTTCGACAAAGTCAAAAGCCATGCTAAGCCTTTATCAAATTCAATCCTTCCTTATTCTAATTCTTACATTTTAACATCAAGTTTAATTACAAAATCAAACACGTTCATTCAAGGAAATGACAGGGTCCATGTGGAAAACATTTGCATCTCTACTTAAAGGAAAACTATCTAGCCAAACTTGTGACCAAGTCCATGTGGAAAATTAGATCTTCATTGACTCAATTGAAAGGAAAAAGTAATTCACCGGCTACCTTGGAACCGTCGAAAGGCTTCAAATTAAGAGTCTTCCGGATCCGAATATTAAGTGAGGTAATGAACGTCCGACCTTAAATTTGAGGCTAGCTAGTTGACTAGTTGCTAAATTTAAACTTTGTAAATTAATTCGATAGCAAAGATAAACATGTATCATTAAAAACATTCTGAACATATTACATTCGGGAATAGGATCCACTATCTCCTTAAGGATCGACTAATACCTCGATATAGTATAATTATTTCTTTAACTCTAAACACTCGTTCTAGATGAAAAACACGCTTCACCAACAATCAAAATAAAAAGACACGCATTTAATGAACATATTCTTTATATACTATTCTTGTCCAATTGACAACAACCACAATGATAATAATGTTGTTAAAAAACAAGTCATATCAAAAGCATAGGTCTCTCAAGTTGGCATCAAGTACTATTAGTAGTTAGAAAATGGACCATTCTATCCCTTTTATCATCCAATTTGGCAAAAGCATCATTTATATAAGAACATTAACCATCAAAGGTTTCAAGTCTTTACTCACACTCTCCACCACATAATATTGTTCAATATCTCCCACACCCATATAAAGATACATTGAAAAGCCTCACCTTGTCACTCTTTTTTCTAATAATTGACTTTATCATAAGAGAGTCTCTCATCCCATCGAAGGACTATTTTGAAAGTAGTTTAAGTAAGAAAGACCTCCGAGAACGACTAACCTTCATCGTTAATCATTAATCATAAAGAGTCACGTCACTCTTAATCATTATTTGAGGTTTTAGGACTCATCAATTAGCACCGTTTATGTAAAAAATATACAAAAAGTCGGTTTCTCAACTCTCTTTATAATCTCCAAGCTTTGATTTTTTTTTCACTCGCCTAATCGGTAAATTCTTCTATTTCATTGCCTAACTTTCGATTTTTTTTTTGGTTTGAGTGTCAACAATCACTTGAGAGTATGAAATATTGATGTATCTAAAATGATCTATCACGTGGCGGTTAATCCTGGACACATCGGTATTTCATACTCTCGGATGATTATGGACACCAAAATAGAAAAAAATAAATAAAAATTTGGATATTCAAATTAAAAAAAAATATTAGTTGGATACTAAAATAAAAAAAATTCAAAAATTAGGTACCAAAAATACAATTTTCTCTTTTTAGAAGTCATTAGATTCGTAGATAGAAAGTTCATGGAAAAAGAACCGGATCGATGACCAAAGTTTGTTGATAATAACCTTAGCAAGACCTAAATATTATATCCTTCCAAGTCTTTTTTTTTTTTTCAATTTCCAATTCACATGTCATGATCCACGTTAATCGAATCCACAAAAAAAAAAAATTCAAACTAAGTTACTATTAAGTTTTTAGTTTTTCGGATAATAAATATTTGTTTAAATAAAACTAAAGTACAAAATCATGTTATATAATAAGGTATCAAAATTTAAATATAATTCTAATGATCCACATTTAAAATATATAATGATAAAAAAAACATTAATTGTTTGAACATATTGTAAACCAAGCTACTAAATTTCAAATAACAATCAAAAGTTCAAAACATAAAATAAAATAAAATTTTAGTTTTTGATGAAAATCGAATCTAAAATTTCAAAAATCGAACCGAACAACAAAACTAAATTTATTTTTGTTTTTTTTTTTTTAATTTTGAGTTAAAAACAAATCAAAATTAATATTTGAGTTCGGTTTGATTTTTTAATTTTATAGTTTAAACTGGTTACTCGTCCGATAAGGATAAGAGTTTCGATCCTTTAATTTAGCTCTTATCCTTACCTAAATTACTTGATATAACAAATCCATTCTTATCACCATTAATTGTACATGTATAAATACATTTGTAATACTTCATAATACATATGTGAATATATAGACTTTACATGGTATCGAGTAGTAAAATGACTTAACATTCTACTTTTTTTCTCTCTTTTGTATCTCTCTTCTTCTCCATTACACCATGGTTACCGAAAGACCGAATAGACTTCAACGTCTTCCCTAGGCTCCCCTTCCATGACTTCGCCTTCCCTCCGAATCTCAATCATACTTCCGGGCTCAATCTTAACCATACCGGCAAGCTGCAATGGCTACTCGAAATGCAAGCTTTGCTAAAAAATTATATATGTAATCTTGTTCCTTGTCATCCCTCATTTAACGTCATTGGTAACAAATAGGTGTACAAGGTTAAAACTAAGTATGATGATACCCTTGATCGGTATAAGACACGTTTGGTGGTGAAAGGCTTCAACCAACATCTTGTACGGACTTCGATGACACCTACGACCATCGTGATCAAATCGGTAGCTCTCCGATTAGTTCTCCCCTTGTTGTCTCTCTTGGTTGGGTAGTAGAACAACTCGATGTTTCAAATGCTTTCCTCTATGGACCCTTGGAAGAAGATATCTACATGACCCAACCAATGGGCTTTGTTGACACCATGAGACCGACTTATGTTTGTAAGTTGAAACGAGTCATTATATGGTTTAAAACAAGCATCACACTAATGGTTTAAATGTTTTCAAAGTAAGTTGTTGTCCTTAGGCTTTATTGGCTCTCAAACAAACATATCATTGTTCTTCGGGAAGTCCGGCGATGATATCACCTCCCGCCGATCTATGTTGATGACTTACGTGTAACGAGCAACAATGGTCCTATGCTCAACTTTACAATTTCGGCCTTATAATCTGTTTTTGTCGTTAAAAACTTAGGGCGTTATATTACTTCCTTGGGATAGAAGCACATTGGCGATTAGGTAGTCTCTTTCTTACTCAACATAAGTATGCTATTAACCTTCCGTTGCAAGCTCACATGCATCATGCTAAGGGACTTGGTACACTCGCATGACCTAACACCAAACTAAGCAGCAAGTCGAGCACGGCATTTTCGGATCCTTTCCTTTATAAATTTGTTGTGGGTGGACTACAATATCCGAGTATTACTAGACTCGATTTAGCCTATCGTGTAAATAAGGTGGCTCAATATATGCATGCTCCCATTAAAGCTTATTAGGCTACTATTAAAAGGATTTTTCGGTATCTTTAGGCTACCAAAGACCATGGATTATTTATCCAAAAATCATCTCCACTCTCAATCAATACATACATAGATGTTGATTGGGGTGGTGATATAGATGATTGCAAAAGCACATTAGGCTTTGCCATCTATTTCGATAAAAATCTAATTTCTTAGCAGTCTAGGAAACATCGAATCGTTGCTCGCTCCTCTTTAGAAGCCGAATATCGAACCTTGGCTACAACTCGTGCGAATATGGACCGGATAGGGTCTCTCTTACGGAAATTGGGATGAAGTGTCCTACTCCATCAATAATTTGGTGTGATAATGTCTCTACCACTCATCTCACTACCACTCATTTTTTTTACTCATGGTCCAAATATCTTGAAATTGATTTTCATTTTGTGAGAGATAAAGTCGGACAAAGGGCAATCCAAGTTTGTTATCCATCCACTATTTATTAGATTGTGGATATCCTAACAAAGCCATTATCCAAAGCTCTATTTTAAAAGTTCAAATCCAAATTATGCATTCGTCTAACTCCCGCATAACTTACGGGAGGGTGATAAGGATAACGTTTTAGTCCTTTATTTTAGCTCTTATTTTCACCTAAACTACTTGATATGACAAACTCATGCTTATCATCATTGATTGTGCCTATATAAATACACTTGTAATACCTTATAATACATATGTGAATATACGGACTTTACGTTGTCAACTTTAATGTTTATAACAAATAAACGTATAGGTTTTGGTATTTGTATTTAGTCACCCTTATATGTGAAATAGTTGAATGTTATAATAGAGAGAAATTAAGGTCTCATAATGCCTAATTAATTTGTAGCATTTGAAAATCTTATATATACATGTGTCTTGCTTCGGTAAGAAAATGAGGTATCAAATGAAGATATGATTTTAAGCATATTTGATTCCTTCTTTTTTTTTTTCTTTTTTTTTTTTACGAAGGTTAATTACTTTTTTTTAAAAATTAGCAATACTCCCAAGTTGGCGTTTTTAGAAGGTAAAGTTTACACTTCAATCAATTTTTTTTTAACTCCCTTTTTTAGTTTTTATCTCAAGATACTCACTGAAAAATTATTTTATAGATAAACATACCCATATATCCGAACATAATATTCAAAGTCTCTTGTATGTCCCTAAATTTTTAATTTCATCTCATTTTTTTTTAAGTATTTGATATGTTCAATATGTTTTTTCGATCAATTTTTCTAGTTACATAATTTTTTACTAAAAATGCCCATGATGGAAATGAAAAAAAAATCTAAAAACTTTAAAAATGGATCATGGAGGTCATGTGACTATAAGTTTTTTTTTTTTTTTTTTTTTTTTTTTTTTTGCATTTTAGTAAATAGTATTTTAGTAAAAAAAAAATTAATGATCAAAAAAATCAATTGAAAAGACAAATTGAATATTTTAAAATTATTTAAAGAAAAATGAGATGTAATTAGAAATCTAAAAACAGATGTGAAAATTATAAAAATCTAAAAATAGATGAGAAACTTTGAGTATTATACAAAAACGAGATAAATATATTTATTTTTTATTTACTCTTTCGATAATTATTGCTAATACATCAATTACTTTCTCAGTCTTGTCACT